ATTATTTGCGTTAATTATCATCAACAATCATTTAAAAATTGAAATTAATTCAGATTACAATCGTAGATTATAAATTAATATAATTATTTAAAGAAAATTTATTTATCCAATAAGTTAGGTTTTCTCTCATTTTCGGCCAGACGTTTTAACAAATGGCCAGATATTTAAGAATTTATTTAAAGACTATAAATTAATATTATTACAATTATTATTGATCGGGAAGTGATCAATATGATTGATGACAAATATAAACTTATTCCATATATTTATTTAAAAACAATATGCTAAACAGGTATTTGTTTTGACATTCAAACACGTGCTTTTAGTTATGGCATGTGCTCGTCTGTAACAACGGAATCTTACATGGAATATTAATGAAATTGTAGAATACATTTAATAAAATTTAAAAAATAAATTATTAGATTCATATTAGCTTAATTCAAGCGTATTTGTATTTTTTTTTAAATTTCAATAACAGTTACAACTGCTAAATACATCTAGTAAATTAAAATAAAGGACAGTATTTCCAATGAAATGATATCTATATGATGATAATTTAATATAAAATAAAAAGCAAATAATGATAATAAATGATAAATGAAATTTGTGAATAATGAAAATAATATTAGAACTGAAAATTTAAATAGCAAAAAATGAGAATTATTCAGTATGGAAAATTCTATGATTTCAAATCTTTAATTTTAATTTTATTAATCAATTATAAGGGTTTAGGATTCATAAAAATAAGGATTATAATGTTTTTTGTAAATAGCCAAACAAATTGAAAACCAACAATAAATTTACCCTTGAAAATGGTTTCAGAAAAAACTTTCTTATATGTTCATATAATAATTTTTTAAGTGTTTCAAAAATCAGTAGCAGCTTTACAGTAATTAATATAATAATATAATAATTTTCATTACCTTATTATATTGTTTATCACTCGTGTGATTTAATTTTATGGAAAGACTCAATCAGGCTAGTGGGTAACATTTCAGAACCTTACTTCGATAATTTACAAATTACCGAAATTTTTGTAAACCCAGCCTTTTAATCAATATTGCTATTATATTTTCGTATTATTATTGAAGAACGCCATAAAGAATGATCTATAAAGACAAAAATCCTTTATCCTAAACAAGAACTCACCCCTAAAATCTCTCATACGTCCTACTAGGATATGTTGGGATGTCCAAACAAACAGAGATCTTATATTTTCGATCTAAAATTCATCAAAATTTCACTGTCACATTTGTTTAATAAACAACAATATACAGTTTATTACAAATTAATTTATAATTCACTTTCATTCTCTGCACATTATTTTATTATTTTCACACAAGAATATTTTCGAAGGTCCTCCTCGTAGGATAGCGTTTCGATACTGGGCTGCTGCATGAAATAGCCAGTTGAAAGCATGTGCTGGACTCTGTCTCGTGTCGTACTCGTATGTCGTATGTCTGTCGTAGTTGTATTTTGGACGGAGAGCAGCAAGTGAATGAATTATCAATTCGTGCTGTAAAACTTGTGGAACATTTCGGACGTTAAAATCGATCTTCACTGAATAAAAGATTGGTCTATGAGTAGTCCAGAAATGTTATATAAAATTGAAATAGTAATTGTAAACCATATTTTAAATATGATTAAAATAAACTTAAGTAAATCTTATACACCAAATCAATGGTCTCAATGAAATATTAGGCACAAATATTATTTCCTCAATAATTTTTATTTTATTTTAATTATTTTACATGAATTAAATTTAAATTGGTAATCATGTTATAGCTTGAACAATTTAAATCTAGTCTATATACAATGTCATATCATAATTCTCGATTCATCATAATTTTGGTGAAAACGTCGACGAATTTTGTACTAATATGTTCTAATCTAGGAATAGAATCAAATCGCATTTTCAATAATAATACGGAAATTATGATAGCATTGATATTGATTGAAAGACAGGCTTTACAAACAAATATTCGGTTTGAAAAAATATATAAATTATAAAGAAACGACTGGGGCGATCATCAACATACTAACTAACATAACATACTTTATCGACTTTCAATGAATATCTTTTAAATTTTTAATGTTACAGTAATTTTGCCTTTAAGCAAGTCGGATTTTCTAGAGACAACATAAATTCTTCTAGGTAAAAAATTACCACTAATATAAAACAACTTTAAGTCTAATAATTTGAAAAAATATTGATAAATGTATATTATTAAACACTAATTTCATGCTAACATTCTTAGACCATTTACATTTAGTATATATAAAATAATATCATCATAATTTATCAATTAAGAAATCAAGATCACAAAATAAAAGTAATTGCCTCACATGGTAAAATATCTAACTATCTTGTTTTTTATAGCAACTTTCAATAGTAATGACCAGATTATATATATATATATATATATATATATATATATTAATTATTAATACATAAATTATTATAAAAATACTATAAGAGATTTACTCGTTTTGTACTATAGTAAAACAGTACCAAATGAGGATTATGAGAAAATTTAGTAAAAGATTGAATGAATTTTACAATGTCAGTTAAATACTATTAGAGATTATTCAGTGTTAATAATTCTACAAATGATGTAAATATTGAATATATATTGACTTGGTTATTCTATAGCTTTTATAAAATATTTCAATCCTGGAAAGATATTGTCAAAAATTAAACTTTTATTTTAAAAATATGAGAATAGTTGTAAAACTATTAGCACTATCCTATCGTAAATTTATATCAATTTAAATAATAAATTGGTGCATTATGTTTTATAAGAATAGTAAAATCGAATGCAGCATGTAAGCGTTCAGTTAAGAGTAAAAATGAAAATCAACTAAATATTATATATTTATAGATATCTGAAATATAAATAACATTTTCTTTAAGTATAGCGTAGATATACCTAAAGCATTAAGAAATCGTCTGAGAGAAACTATGATGAACTTTTAGATTAAATAGTGATAAACTAATTATATTATATCAAATGTCTGCTTTTAGCCACCACAATAACGTACTATACGAATTGTGAACTTTGTACTGTATGCATTCATACAGCATACAGTAATTGCAAAATAATTTTATAAAAATACTAGATAAGTGTGTATTTATTGAATAAAAATGTATCCGAAGTTCACAAAACAATTATTAAGTAACTATCTCCAAATTTAATTTGACCTAAAAGGGTTAACTTTGAAAAGAAATAAGTTCCAATAAAGTTTCAAATGGAATTAAAGTATAACCAAGTGGATCTCACATCATCGATAATAGCGTTCAATAAGTGAATAATACACCGTAATACATTAAACTGCTTTATTAAACTAAATACAGTCGTATGTAAAAAAAATACACATTTAGAACTGAATCATCTGTCCCTTCCTCTTCTTGTCACCACCAAGCTCGAAGTGCTTGCAACGCTTAAGTGGGATTTGTTTCCTGAATTTACAGTCGGAGCATTCCATTCTCAATACAATTTTCTTAGTAGTTTTAGCCTACAGAACAGAAATAACATTGAATATATCATGCGATATAAAAATTACATTCAGGATAGCAAAATAATAAATACCTTTTTTCTGAAGATAGGTTTGGTCTGACCACCAAAACCTTGTTGTTTTCTGTCGTAACGACGACGTCCCTGGGCTGCATGTCGTTCTTTTGATTTTTTATATTGTGTTACTTTGTGTTGCTTGTGAACCTTGCATTTTTTGCAGAAGGTTCTGCGTAATTTTGGAACGTTCACCTAAAAAAATGACGTATGTGAGTACATCGCAGATTGAGGTTATTCACTTCACCTGATGTTTAATACCATTTTGTATAAAAATTACACTAAATACAATATCGCAAGTAGTCTAAATTTGCGTGAGCTTAATACTAAGAATATTAATAGATTTATTTTAAGGATGAACGAAGATTAAGAAATAATATGGCTTGTACGTCCACTTACCATGTTTGCGAGGGTAAAAAGAAAACTTCTTTGCCGACAAACCGGAGGTTATGTTGTTCGCCATTCATTTTGTGTTTTTAATGTTGTCAACATGCTTTTACTTCGGCTGTTTTGACAGTTCTGACACCGAGAGTTGACAGATAAAGATGATTCTTCTGTCAGTTATTATTAATGATTTCGAAAGTGAATAAACCCATTTAGAATATTTTAATTGAAAATACATAACACAACAATGGAGGAAATTGACAATATTATTATTCATTCTCTACGACAGATTGGATGGTTAGTTTCTCACATGCAATAAGGATAATTCTTGCTTTTTATATTTCATGGATGTTTATTTGCAAATTACAGTAACTTGGATGAAGAAGTATCCTCCGTGGGAGATTTTACTCCAGAATTAGTTATAGAAGCTGCAAGTCGTTGCTTAAATATAATTCAACCTAATTTAGATTTACCATTAATTTTACCTGCTAACATGGCTATGCGTTTCAAAGCTACAGCGGCTATTGCTGCGGCTTGCAAAGTATATACATTATTTTATTTTATCATAATATTGTCATATATTAATATATCAATTTTTGTTAGGATGTAGGATATAATGGTGATATAGGTTATCAAGCATTTTTATACTCCAATGAGAGCGACCTACGTAAAATTTTTATGTTTCTTATTGAACACCTACCTAAAGACGCTGATAAAGAAATTGTGTCAGGTCCCAAAGGGCTTGCAGATGAATTGCTACAAAATATAGCCCATGTTTTGCATAAACAACTTACAGCCCCATTTTTATTTTCTCAATGTAAACCAAATGGTTTCAGAGTATATGATAGTGGCATTTTGTGCATAGAAGGCCGACCAAGAAAGTTGAATGTTAGTGAAACTAAATCACTAACTATACCACAACCATACTTACCAAATGTTTGCCAAGGTATTTTAGTTAAAAGTTGTATAAAAATGGATTATTTTTCAAAAGAAATATTAATTTGTTCTTGAAACATTTACAGCATTCAAAAATTATTGGGTAAAATATCTTCCATTTTTGAAAGATCAGATAGATAGTCACTCTATCATCCAATCTGTTATATCTCATAATGATAAAAATTTAGGAAAAACTTCTACAGAACAAGATATTCAAAATCATTTACTGAAACAGTGGAACAAAATTAACAATTCTGTTAGTAGCATTACTGGTGATGTTAATAGTCATTCTGTAGATAATTTCTCAAAAGCAAGTTTAGATATAAAAGCAATTATTAAAAATGAAGTAAATGTTAATGAGCAACAAGCAGAAAATGAGGCAGAAGTTATAGTAGAACTGGCAAATAAAACTGAGACTATGAATGCAGATATTGGAGCTTATGCTTGTGAAATAGTAAATTATCAACAAGAATTACAAAAGTTATTAGATGATAGGTATAATGAAGATAATCTGTATAAAAAAGCTATCGACAAGTATGAGCTGATTGTTAAAAGTCGGACTCTATTAGACAACAGAGAAGAGAATTTATTAAAATTGCAAAATAAAGCAGAAGCCAGTGCTAAGAAGTTGATACATTTATCAAAACAATGGGAGGAACATAAATTAGGTTATATGGAACAATACCAAGCAGCAAAAAATAAAGCAAATTTTAAATCTGTGAGTGATAATAAAATAAATGTTTACATTATTGAATATCACAATGTTATTCTTTTTTAGTCAGAACATAAACAATTAATTGAATCATTAGAAAATATAACACAAGAGTGTGATAACATTATTAGTCAAATTAATCTTAAAACTAATCAACAAGCACAGTTATCAAAGGAATATGAAAATGCTAATAAAGACATAAACAGGTATCAAATCATCTTATTATACAAGTTAAAAATATTATTTTTATTTAGATTCAATTTATATTTAAATACACTTTATAGATCTGCATATACAAATCGTATATTAGAAATTATTGGCAGCATTGGCAAACAAAAAACAGATTTAAATCGTGTATTGAATGAAACTAGAACATTGCAGAAAGAAATAAATAACTTAACAGGCCGATTGCAGAGAAGTTTTACAGAAACTGATGAACTAATTTTTGAGGTTGGTTCTAATGCTCATTATGTGTACATTACAAATATAATTACATAAATCAAACTTGTCAGGATGCAAGACGGCATGAGTTAGGCCGGACAGCATATAAATTACTAGCAACCCTGCATACTGATTGTAAGTCACTTGTTGAAACTGTTGAAGCAATAGGTGGTGCTGTTCGAGAATCTAGAGAACTTGAAGATCATATTCAACAGGAAAGTAATAAACGAATTGCTGATAGTTTGGCAAGGGTTAAAAGGGATCTTGACAGTATGAGGATGGATAGTGCTGAACTAAAAAGACTAATAGAACAAAAGCAAAGTAATGCACAGTAGATTCCAACCTCAAGTTATGTATATAAAATTTATATAAATTTAGTATAATTGAAATAAAAAGTAATATATTTCATGCAATTATTATTATGTGTTTTATATTTATATTAAATATTCAACACATAATGTTAATTCTTGCTACAGTAAGGAAATTTATCATTTCATAGCTGTCCAGTCAAAAATATTGAGGCAAGAACTCATTCATTATTTTCTTTTGCATTAATGTTCAGTTTTAAATTTTTAATATTGAAGTCGCAAACTTCATTTTCTTCTTTATTTATACATCATAAAAATAATATAATATTAACTTAATTATTAGTATTTAAATAAGAACTGGGGTCATCAATTTGCATCAGTCTTTGCACTGTAATATTTTCTGAGCACATTGGACATTGTGTTTCACTTTCCAAAATCCTATGAGGAACATATATATATTTCATATTTGATTAATTATTATCCACTATAGTAAATATTTAATGAACTTACTTTATAAATTCACTTCTAATTGCTGGAAAATCACATTCAGGACATGTGGTTAAATCATCTTTAATAACATGTTTGCCCTAACATAAACAGATTAAAATCATTCTGTATTAAGTATTAAAAATAATATCATATCTACAGAAATATAACTTACAGTTGCAATACAGAATGGTATACTCATTTTGCACTGAGTACAGTTCACTTCCATGTCCGGTAAATTAAAATTACAATATGGGCAAGGAGATCTATTTTCTTGTTCATCTGTATTTAATTCAGAGTCTTTAGTTCCTCGTGTTTTACGCACTATGGTTTCGATTTTTTTCGCATATTTTGGATCAATCTGTATTCAAAACAAACAAATTTATATAAATAAGTGAAAAATATATTAATTTAACTCAATCAATTAAAAATAAACCTGGGATCGGTACTCAGGTCTCATTAGTGTAGCGGCGTAAGAAAATGCTGACTGTTTCAAACCAGATCTGTGGCATTCTATTACTGTAGATGTTAATATTGGAACTACATCTGCAAGATATAAATGATTGAATTTAAAGTTTTCAAAATGAAATAATTTACCAGTCTTACGTTGTGGAAATTTTGATATATTTGAAGCTACTCGCAGCAATAGTCTGGCTGCCTTTTCATGATCACCCCTCTTCACATGTAGCCTTACTAAAATATATGAATGCAAAAGATTGAGACTATTTCTCATATCTAATGGAACTGGTATATCATTGTGGCGTAACTCCTGGTACATAGAGAATAGGACGTCATGAGCACTTCTATAGTTGCCGTTAATCTGCTCTTGGTTTGCAATTATCACTGCTGCTTTTGCTGATTCTTTGAACTGTTTCCTGGCCATGTATAATCTGAATAAGTACTTAGGATCCTGTGAATATAATTAAAGAATTACTATATTACTAGAAACAAAAATGTGTTAAATACCTTGGGTATGCCATCAGTTTCTCCTAACAAAAATTCTATTAAATGTGCAACTAATTTTTCATCATTTGATGAAGCTACAGTATCGACAGCTAAAGATAAAGCTTCATTTTCTGCTGAACTTAAAGCAGAAGCTTTTAGCAAATGCTTTAAAGCCTAAAAATAAATAAAATATTTATTTCTTAATAAATTTTAATTTTATTAATTGGCATACAATAAAAATGCACCTTTGAAAAATCTCTTGCATAGAAATAGTATTTGCCAGCAAGAAGACTTGAAGCCTGGGCCTCAAAATGTTCGGCTAGCTGCCTAAAGTCTGTGCTGGTGCCAGAACCAGCCAGTAGCAGTTGCCCGAGATCTTGTAGTAGACCATGGCGTCGGGCTAATTCATAGGCTTCTGTATTGCAACCAGATATCACTAAAAATTTCATAGCTGATTCATGATCATTAATACGTTGATAAAACCTGGAAAATATATGGCAAAATATTATTAACAAACTCATTTCGAACAAGTTATTTTAAGTACTGTATTTTCTTTTACCTAGCTACCATCTGTGCTCCTTCATTCGAAGGATTCTGTTCCAATAATTCGACGGCAGCATGTGGATTATTCAAATGCTCTAGTTGTATTCTTATAACAGAGGTATAGTCTTTAGCAGCCGCATATGCTGTAGCAGCATCCTCATAAAGTGCAGCTTTTTCTTTGGCTTGTGCATACTGTAAATGTATCTTGGGAGATATAACTTTGTCCAGAAGCATCGTCACTTTATTCCATGAATTTAGTTGAATATATATTGCAGCAGCTTGATCCCATAAATCAGCTCTTTCATACATTTCGGCTGCTTCACTGAATTGCTTGAGTTCTAGCAAAATGTCTGCACATTCTTTAGCGAGTTGTTTGTTGTTGCTTCTCGTTGCAATGGATAACTAGATCATAAAATCAAAATGATATAATAAAGAGTATGTTGAAATTCTATTGATATTGCATACCCCTTTTTTTATATCTCCACATCTTATACTATTTCTTGCAATGCCGTTCATACATAATGCATTATGTTCATCAACATCTTTAATGCCGTTGTAATTATGACTTCTGGCGATGTAATCACCGCAGCTTTTTTCATCTATTAGGCCTTCATTAAAGTGCTGTAAAGCTTCTGGAAAATTACCCCTGCAATATAAATATATTTATTACTTATATGTTGTTAATAATAATCCGATAAAATCCAATTAACTTACGTAAATTCTAGTTGAGCAGCATATTCCCGTGCTATGAATGGAAATTCGGTGACATCAACTCTTTTTGCAAGTTCTAGTGCAGGCTGCCATTGTAGCAGGTCTCTCCGCAACCATAAAGCTTCTTGTGGTTGACTCGATTGTTGAAAATATCTATAAATTAAAAATGATCATAGATAAAAAGTTATTGATAAGCCTCAAATATATTGAACCTGCAGGCTTCCTCTATCAACCCAAGTATCATAGCGCAGTGTCCGCATAGCAATTTAAGTTCCTCGATTGAACTTATTTTTTCTAGTGACCACACCATTGATACGTCTCTTAAATGTCGATATACGCTTATCGCTAAAAATATATTATAAAAACGTTCGTAATTTATTACTAATGGCTATGATATTACAAGAAAAAATACCAAATTCTATATTTAAATGCTCAATCGCTGCCTTTCCCAGCTTTTCCCAGCATTCATCTTTATTCAAGTGCTCACAAACGTTCCATGCGTCGTTTAGTTTTTTTAAGGCTATTAATCTATCTAACATAGTTTCTGAGTATAATTGATTTGTGCCGATAATTACGTTATTAATTTCAGGCATTTTTTCTAGAAAAAATCATAACAATTTGTTTATAATTTGTTAATATAAACAGTTATTTGTTATTACCATTAGATGTATCAGTGCCAGCATCAGCAATATCCAATGTTGTTATTTTACCCCCGGAAATCAAATAAGTGATTTCGCCGTCTGATAGTTGCAGAGGCAATTCGTCGTGAGATTTTGGAACTGTGTGGATCTTTTCTGCTCGAGTTCCTAGAAATAAATTAATCTTAGCCTTATTAAAAACGTAAGTTCTTATAATAATCAAAAATTATAATTTACCATTGACGGCTTGTGCGATGTACACAAATAAATGTATATTAGTTTGGGTATGTACGACAAATATGTGCCGGGTAGAAAATGCTTGATCCCATAAAGCACCTTTACATCCAGACGGAAAATCTGGTATCGATACTATTTTTTCACTAGCCTGAAAATTAACATTTTATTTTGTCTTAAGTTTTGACATATGTAATTGATACCTTATTCATTATTATTTAAACTTACCGGATTATATACGTAACCATCTCCTCTGTCGTCTTGCACGATGATCCAAGTCCCAGTAGGATCGCTGTGAACAGATTTGATACCCATATCATGACGATACTCCCGCACTAATGTCCAATCATTTATGGAAAATAGGATTATGTGCCCCATCTAATTCATAGAAGACAAATTATTTATATGACATCTCGAAATAATTGAATTATTCTAACTTAATAATATGTTAATATTAATTACATTATTACATACATCTGTTCCGTAAAGGAGAAAATATTGCGTGAGATCTGCACAAGTAACTTCTTCATCTTGAATATGGACGTCAGGAAAAGACATAGCTTCTCTTTCTGTATTGGCTTCTGTCACCGGCACTAACTAAGATTTTTATTTATTAAATTAAACGTTTCACGAAACTTTTTATCTATTTTTTTTGTTACAAACCATTTGCAACGATAACTTTCCTCCATGTATCACCGCCATATAATTATTGTTTATATATAATTTCTTTATATTACTCATCAGTTCTCTATCTCCAAGCAGGATGGTATTATCATCCTGTTTGGATGGCAATTGATACAACCAAATTCTGTTATTCATTGCTACAGCTAGATACCGGTTACTCAAAGCAATGAATGATGGTTCTATTTCCAAAGGTAATGTGAAAGGATCAAATGGTCCCTATCAATAAATTCAATATTATCACCAGCGTTTATTCTTAACAATAATAATAAAATAATACATGAGTTCCATAGTGATGGTACACTGTAACTTGCGCGATACTGCTGAGGATTGCAATGGCTGGTGCACATGCTGCTCCCATTGGCGGCAATCTTGCTACGTGGACTTGGATAGCACCACGGGCTGTAGTCAGAGCCAGTAATGATCCTTCAACATTCCAAGCTACATGGTATACCATGCTATCATCAGCAGGAGATATAATTGAGAGAGTTTCGTGAAGATTAGATGTGGAATGGATTTTAACACTGTAAGGTACTTATTATATAAATGTCGTTAAAAAGTCGTGATAAAGTTTAGTACGTGATAAAGTTTAGTACTTGTTATCTCCACATGATGCAACCTCGCTTGTGAGGGGTGCAAGCGACATATCCAACAAACCTTTATGGCTTTTTACCATGAATAATTCCTGACCGACTTCTTGCATATGCGTAGATATGGCAACTATATGTCCTGCACCAAAGCCCAATAAGATATAGCCGTCGCCAAACCACTAGAATAACAAATTACAAATATAACATATAAATTGTGGGATTTTTGAATAATCGCTTAGGTTACCTTGTGTATTTGAAGGGGGCCGTATTTTTGTTGGAAACCTAACTCGATAGGATTTTCAGCATCGAGTAAATTATACAGGAATAAAGTTTTCTTTCCTAATATTACACTTATCTATAATATGAAACGTTATGAACATATATGAAGTGATAGTTAGAAGTTCATAATAAGTTCTAATTGATTATTTACTGTATTTTCTCCTTGAGTGCGTTCATCGGTCTTCATATCAGCGAAGGTGACGTCGTAAGGGGTGTCTCGTAATGGCACCACGCGTAGTGTGTCCCCATCCACTGTGCTCACAGAAAGACTGCGGTCTTCTCCGGCCAAAGCCAGCAAACCTTCGGAACTCCAACAACCGCAGGTTACTCTTTTGCTATGCTTGCCTATCACCGACACCCTCCTTATACCGAGTTAAAAATAAATCGTATTTTATCATAGTAACATCATAATATATAGCCATTATAGAATCTTACTTTGTGGTCGCATAATTATATAATGATAAATTTCCTCTCAAAGTAGCGATAGCCAATATCGGATCGCGTTTCGCCCAAACCATGCATGTTGGATTATCACGCAAGTTTAAATCGAGCGTTTGTTTTTTGGCAGTATGTACATTCCATACTGTTACCTGTTGCAAAATATAAATTATCAAAAGTAATATAGTAAAATGTCATTCATTTCTATTTTATATACAACCTGCAAAGAATTTAGTGTGATCATTCCAAGCAAATCTCCATCGCTATCCCAGCCAAATCCTGTACATGTCCTGAAACAATATTACTTTGAAATTTATCATGTATTATTAAATTTGAATTGGCATACCCATTTAAGATAATCCTCTCGTGTAGTTGTCCTTTTCTGTTATAAATAGCAACAGTACCGTCTGCACCGGTTGTTGCCAAAAGTGCGCCAGAACCTCCTGTTTGCCAAGCAAGTTGCACCTCGCCTGGACCATGCGGTTGCTCATGTCTGAATAATATCTAAAAACGAACAATAATATGAAACTTTGAAATTTAAATAATAATTTTTAAACAATTACTTTGTCATTATTCATTTTTGTATCGCCAAAGGCTTTCAAATGTCATTAAGAACTCTATATTTTGGTTTGGTTGTTGCCTTAGCGACCATGCATAAGTACATATATAATACGATATATATATTGTATTTTGCTCTTAACAGTGTTTCAAATTTGAGATAAGCGTAAATATCTATATAAAAGTTAATATCAATATTATTAATTTATATATAATATTAAAAATTATGATTCATAATACACGTCTAGCAGCGAACTTCAAAGTAAATTATTTAGTGTTTTCAGTAAAATATAAGTTGGTAATCCTTAAGTGAAGTGGGCAAATTTTGAATAAAAAATCCAAATTTGAGCAACTTCATTTCAAGAACACGAATAAACAATAATAGAATATTTCATTAACACAAAGTAGAATCAAATGTGCTAAATTAATCAAATTTAATTTATATATTTACAAATATTATAAGTGTAAGACAAAGGCATTAAATGTAGATCAAATTGCTAGGTGTTCAGTAAAAAGTGATGAGTGATTTTCAAAATCAAACGTCGAAAATTGTATTTAAATCGATAAATCCTACACCTTATTGATTAAGTTCTTATTTACGCAATATTCAGGTCATAGATAAAAGAAGAGTATGATTCAGGTAATATATACAACTCACAGTAATGCATAATGCCACTTACAAATAGTTTAAATATTATTTTCGAAAGAATGTTTTAAATAAATAACGGAATTTGAAACGGAATTCGAATCAGCGTCATCTACAAGGTTTATTGCGGACAAGATGGCCGTCTGTTGTTAGTTTCTAGCATTTTCTATCTGTCAAGGATTAATATTTATCCATAACACAAACTTATTTTCGTTTTTCAAAAAGGATAATAATAAAAACAGCAAAATGTCGTATATGTTAGGTCATTTGCATAATGGGTGGCAAGTGGATCAAGCAATTCTATCCGAAGAAGACAGAGTTGTGGTAAGTACTTCAATTTAACCTACAATTTTTAATTAACCATATTTTGTCATATAAATTCTAAAAGTTGTTTTAAAACATATTTATACACAGGTAATTCGTTTCGGGCACGATTGGGACCCAACATGTATGAAAATGGACGAAGTATTATACAGTATTGCCGAGAAAGTGAAAAACTTTGCTGTTTTGTATTTAGTTGATATTACAGAAGTTCCAGACTTCAACAAAATGTATGAACACAACATATTATATAATACCAACATATTTTCAACGTAATATTTAATCTATGAATGACCAATTAATTTCATTTTAGGTATGAATTATATGACCCGTGTACTGTAATGTTTTTCTTCAGGAATAAACATATAATGATAGATTTGGGAACTGGTAACAACAATAAAATTAATTGGACCTTAGAAGATAAACAAGAAATGATTGATATTATTGAGACAGTTTATAGAGGAGCTAGAAAGGGTCGAGGTTTAGTCGTTTCTCCTAAAGATTACTCTACTAAATATAGATATTAATTTACTGTTAAATGGGAATTGAAGTACTAAATATGATCTTACGAAGAATTTAAGTTTAGTAGTGATAATTAATGGAGTAAATGTTCTTGTGAATGCTAAATTTTTATATGATGTATTTGAATAATAATATGAGAAAAAAATGTGGTATGTTTATTGTAATATTTATTTTATGACTGCTAAGCATAATAAAATTAAAAGATATGAAATTTAATTTAGAGTATATTGACATTTTATTTATCACAATGTATGTATATTATTTATATTAACAGCAAATTTAAATAGGTTTAAGTAGTATTTTGCCTTGAAGAAAGTTGTATGCATTTCCTTATGTTGCTTTCACTAAAAACTAATCTATGAGATTATTTATTCATATCTTTTAAACAAATCTGATATTGTATTACTTAAATTTAATTTGAACATTTCACTTTGTGTTCTAGTAATGTATTTTATTTAAGTACGAATTAACAAATTTAGCCTGTTTTCAATTTTTAAGTGTAATAAATCATTTTTAAAATGAGCAAATCGGATTTTCTGGTGAAAACATAAAAGTATCATGAATTCATCATATGTTTCCGTGGTGTAGTGGTTATCACATCCGCCTAACACGCGGAAGGCCCCCGGTTCGATCCCGGGCGGAAACAGATATTTTTAATGCTAAAGGTTCAATAATTTTAAAAAAATAAATACAATTTTATTACACAATTTGTTAAATCTTGTTTAATTTTTGTATATACAAAAATTTATAAATAAATTTTGTTTTCACCGATTCATTCTACATATTTGATATATGTGCGCAGGCGTGCGTAGTTTCGCCCCATCGTTTCAATCAACAACCCCGTGTGCATTCAGCCGGCATTATAAATCGATTTTACCAACGGGTTTTATTCCGTTTATATAATATTAAATAATATTCGATAATTAAGAGAAAGTACTGATTAGTTTTTGATTACGTTTTTCCTAAACATGAACTGTAGTATTTTTTTACAAGTAGAAAAACACTATTAAATTTTATGTTTTTCACCCTCCACCCCGAAAGTGCGCAGACGCTGTGATGTAAACTACCAATACAAAACATAACAAATGACTCAGTGAACTGGGTATTGTAGGCCATTGACATTATATTGGGGTTGTGTATATTCTATAGCATTTTATAATGTTTTTATCGTCGTACTTTTTTATTCGTAATATTAAAATATCTGTTTGTAAAATATTTTTTTGCAAATGAACTATATTCATTATTCGATCTGTGATTGTTGGAATAAGGATAAGGATAATAATTCAGGATCATTTTAATTTAAGCGGTAAGGGTTGTTAATGTAATTTGTAATTTTATAATTATAAATATTAATATTATAATATTTTGATACGGTTTGACTTTGTTAATAATATGCAGTTGAGATTTTTCGGTAAGAATTCTTTTTATAGGCGGCACGAGCAACATATGGTTTTATAGCATCCTTATTGTCCATTTCTCTTCTATATCAGTTTCCATTATGTCATAAAAGTTCATTTAAAACGCATTTCTATTCTCAATGGCAATATAAATGTGCTTTTATTTTATTTATAATTGATATAAATGTTACTGTAAATAAATTAATTTTGTAAAATCTTATAACGTAATATTTTGAAAATTATATATTTTGATACAAACATGTTTAACAAAAATTATTTCATTTAATTAATAAAATAATTATTATTTGCTCGTCATTTAATAATTATTATTTTAGGCTTGATATGGTATATATTCATATTTTAAATTGCAAAGTGATTATATTTTTTTCAGAATTCAATGGTCGAAGACGCCAACAGAAATGAAATCGAGCAAAGGGGAGTGCGCTGCAATTCCATGTGGTCGCTCTGGTATGGGGCAGTCGGAGGAATCACGCTGGCCTATCTCGTCGCCAGATCTGCACGCAGATACTTAGGTTACTTTGATTACATCTTTAAGTCTATTAGGAATCCTATAAGATAAAGCATTAGGCATTACTTGGTATATCAGAGCAATTAACACATCAAGCGCTCTACAAGTTTGAATGTACTTACTTTACTTAAAAATTATAGTTTTTAATAATTTATTTTTAAATTCATAGGTTACATGTCACTGTCTTTTCCCCACGAATCAACGCCTCGAGAATGGGAACTGCATATGACCATCGCTGGCACAGCTTTGGCAGCCGTTCTCATACCACCATTTTTTGCTGCTGCATTCTTCAAAGTATTTTCCATTTTTATTTATGCCAATTTTATTAAATATATCATTGATAATAGTCTTTTATTAAGGTGGGTAATTTTGCAAACGATGGATACAAGCTAGGCTGGGATTCAGAACTGTCAGAGCAATCTTCCAGTTGTGTTTCGTCGATGTGGAAACACGCTGGTCCCACAGCGCCAGCTCTACATGTATTAGCTTCTCTTTGTTTATTGTTGCCAAAGTTGTTACTTGAAGGCAGATTACTTGAAGCAGGATTTTTATCCAAAGGTCAGTTATTTAATACAATTAATTAAAATGTTGTTTGATTTGATTTTTGTCATTTTTGATATTAATAATTTTAAATCAAATTTGTTTCTTAAAGATTCAACATGCAAGACAGATTTAAGTTTTCTTGCTCCACAATATTTGGCCAATTCTAGTCCGCAAGTTCTCAACAGTACAAGACATGCTCACAAAGAAGCTGTGCTTAACTCTCACATATTCGAAGCTTTAGGTAAAATAGGAAATTATATTTTAGATAAAGAAATTCCAGGAAAATGAATGCAATTTATTCTTTCTAGTAGTTTTTTATTGAATATTAATTGTGTTACCGTTTTCAGATCCTGCAGTGTGGTCATCCCCGTTCTCAGCGGAATTTCTTCAATACGCTGCCGCTATGTTTGCTTTTGGCTCTCGCCATTCCGCTGTTTTTTGGCAATGCGGTATTCGTTTCTCTATTGGGTTTGCTCTACAGCAAGCCTGTGCCGCTTTGCAAAGTTTTCTGCTGCTATCGGTGTGCGCTCTGCTCTACAAACAGGCATCTTTGGCGGCTGATTCGTCACAGCCACTGCCACTGTCTGCTTCGGGCGTCGCCTTGGACAGAGCATCCATTCTCTTATTAACAATAGCTTCATTGATGTTTCTAATGATGTCCGGCAGCGCTCTATATGCTCACGGATTGAATAGACTGGATGACATAGTGCGTAAAAAGAGGGAATGCAGGTGTGTGTATTAATAAAATAATAATTTATATTTATTTTAAAACTGAAGTAATATGTTTTATATGTTCAATGTTTTCAGTACTGTCACACTTCGAAAATCTGAGGTCCGTAGCAATAGTCCATGTTCCGGCTGCGGTCTTGTATGGTACATGCTATGTCTCTTATCCCTGGGAATTTGCATAACACCTTTACTGAGTTCGGTTCTATACGTATACTGCCCTGTAACTCCTAGATTTCCGAGTGCTCTCTCTGTGTTATCTACGGCTCTTCTGATGATGTGGTTTCCACTGTGGCTATGGATAAGAAATTCGCCGCTTCATTTTGGATTGGCTGACGCCTTATTACAGGCGTATAGGCGCTACGGCCCAGGAGATGCTGTTCTGGTTTTAGGTATGTTCTGCACACAAACCAAACAAAGACGATTTTAAATGTTGTTTATTTATTAGGCGGAAACAGAGCTTACACAGTGACTGGTACTGGACCGAAGGCTTCGATTATGGCAATAGTCAAAGACAGCACTCAACGTGGGGTGCGAGATTCTACGGATGATCTTTTGGCGGGACAAGTTTATTGGCTGCGGGAGACGAATGAACCTGCAAGAAGGGAACGCGATCGCAAGATATCATTTGGAAATGACGTACGAGAGGAAGACGGGAAAAGGTAAGTACAGAAAAATGCATATACATGTCTCATATTTTATTACATAATACTAACATATAGCAGAAACGGTCCTGTAATATTCGATGAAGTTGATGATGGCGATTACGCAACGTTGATGAAATTACCGGTTGTACTACCCGAAGTGGTTGACGCAGAAGAAAGAAGGGTAAGCAAACAACGTTTTTTCACTCAAATATATAAGCGTGTGTAATATTTTGTACTTATTTTATTAATCAGGATCTTTCTGAATCTACTCTGCGGCGTACTGATTCTGGTATGCCACACGACGAAATAACACCCTGTTCGGACTCAGAAGACAATACAGAACCACCTCCTCCGGACACGAGCGAGGGCTCCAGTAGCGGCGTTACTTCTGCAGCAAGTTCAGTCTGTAAACCAGCGATCTTAGCTACGGCCGTAGCTACTGCCCCAACATGTGAAGCTACATTTTTAAGTGAGTCTTATAGAAATATGCTTATTAAATAAAATTATGTTAAACGTTGTTTTCGTAGGTTGTACAGATGCGGTAAGTAGTGGAGCCAGTTCTCCTGTGCACGCCGCGGTAGAACCGGCAACGGTGGTCATTAGACGTAAGCCGCCAGCTGTTCGTATTCAGAGTTCTACCAGGGTTCCTCCGACCGAAGAACCATTTGGAAGGTAGTTTTGGTTGAATTATTAGTTACCTATTGACCTTCATATGGTTCATTTGATAATAGATCAACGAATATGCGAATGACTTCATTTGCGGAGGGGCGTGTCCGCACATTACCGTACATGCCATCGCAGAAGCCGGTTGTATCCCTGCAGTTGCAGCAGCAGCACTGCTCCACTATGCCTGCGCAACCGCACACTTCCCACTTTATTCACTCACGGGCGAGTTTACAACACCCAACACAGTTTACACGATCACCTGTAACTCAACAACAAATTCCGAATCATCAGCATGTAGTGGCTCATCAGCAAAATTTGAATCAGCGTCCTATTTCTAGACATACCGCAATACCCCAAGGACATAGATCGTTTTCACAACGGTTGGTTCAGTATGATCAGCAGCCGGTACATCAGGTAAATCATTTTAACATGAAACATGATTTAACAGCATACTTTTACTTAATTGAATTTTTTGCAGGTTTACAAAACTCCAGGAAGTAACAGACCACTTCAACATACGACATGCTTAAACGAGAATGTTTGAAAATAAAATACCAGGATTTATGTGTGAAAGGCGATACAATAAGCCTAGGATTTCTGGTCCATTGTTATTTAGATTTGGTAACGTAAGTAATGTTAATCTAATAATTATACTACTTTAAACTTAATCTATTCGCACTAACAATTATGCAAATTTGTTGTTAATGGCATACATCTCCCATCATTTTGAAACAGTTTTAAAATATATGCATATCTTGTGTACCAGTACCCGACGTAAAACTGTAAGGCATTTTCTATTGTTAAATATTATTAACTTTTTTAAATATCATTGGAATACTACTTATAATGGAATAATGACAAATACGATGATAATAATTTTTTATTGACAAAATAAGGCTGACTACATTGATATAGGTTACCCTTAATATTATGTAAATTATCTTAATCTTAAATCAAACTATTAACGCCACGACGGAATACAATCTATAGAAAACGACAATATCCTTTTTCATATCTGAGAATATCTTCTTGAGACCAAATTTTCATAATCAGAAAAATTTCAAACTAAATCAAGCATCAATTATCGTGTAAGAGTATGTTATACAATATTTTTAACCATTGTTATTAAACCTACAATATGGAATACGTATACATAATCGATGTAATATTTAATAAGTGGTAAAAATATTATTTGATACAAATAATGAACATATATTTATAAGACTTGTATAAGACTATATAATTTAATCATAAAGTAGCTTAGAATAATTTTATTGTACATATCACCTACAACCCTGCAAATCCACAAATCCTGTGAAAACCTCGAACATATTTTTCCAATATTTAAAATTTATTAGTTAGGCGAATTTTTATTTTTAAATTTACTTTCAGTAGGTAATCGAATTTAAGAACAACCTCTGAGATATAGACTATATGCATTGACGATTGCGTTTTTAACAAATCAAATACACTTTGAGTAAATTTAATGATAGATAATAATAGAAGTAAGTAATAGATCAAAATTATTTAAAACTAATATTTATTTAAACGGTTTTTAAACAGATTTATCTGTGATCGCGATAATAAGTCTATTGTTCATATGCGAATTGCCTTACGAAGACTTTAGCCTCTAACTAAAATCTTACAGGACCCAAAAGTACATAAATTTTCCTGTGCTGCTTTAAGAACAAATTTAATTATTACTAACAAACAATTCCCTTTAATCCAAAATCATCCCAATGCTTTTTCCGCATTTATTTTAATCCAGAACTGAAATAACTATGTATACGTTTAAAATGCTCTTAAGGATTGATATTAATATTTAATTTAAATAGTAATCTTTTAAACTTATTTTACAGTAAATTTTTATGACAAAAATGTAATAGATTTGATTTTAATTTGTGCCAAAACATTGTTTTGTAGTAATACTTATGAAAATAATCGCTATGAAAAGCAATCGTTAGAAAATCGATAACCATACAATAAACGCCAATAGGGTTATTTTTATAAGATTTTATAAGACTTGTATATATATTTATTTCAATACGTGTGAAATATATTATATGGTTAACATATTTATTCATCTTGTTTTTAAAATAACTAATTTGCTATGAAACTAATAGTAAACAAAAAAGTTTTTTATGCCGGCATTAAACCAGACAAATTTTTGTGAAATTGAATTATTTATTTATTTCAAACAATTAAACTTAATAAAAATAATTTCATTTTTTTTAAATAATTGGATGAATAAAAAACTTTTTCGTTTACTGTTATATCTGTCGCCATCTGAAATACTATTGCTTTAGGTGTATATAAATATCTATTTACATATTTTGCAGGTATCTGATTAATACTAATTTTTGAATCACTGGTTTATTTAAAAAAATATTTCACATTTTTAGGTTCTAACAGCAATACACTTTGCTACATTTATTAGTAAATGTTATTAATTAATTATGTATAATACTTTGATTTCAACTAAAATTTTGTACGTCGAATTGAAAATGTGCTTAAGTTTTACAAGTCAGTGGCCGGACGTTTGGCAACCCATTCCTTGACTTTGGGGAGGGACAGTACATTGTTGATAACAGCCTTCAATGAGGGGGTGTTGGCGAATAAATCAGTGCGGGCCATAAAGTTCCATGCTTCGAATTGACCAGCCAGCACGAAATCTGCCCAGGTCAACTGCAAATAGGAAAACGTTGTTAGTGGAATTGAATTCAACATATAGAAGGTTAGTGAGAATATTTATAAAGTTACTGACTTTTCCCAAAGCTAAATGTCCATTGTTCTTTTTGGCGATAGCCTCGAATTTTTCAAAGTAGAATGGTACTACTTCTTTGGTCAATTGTTCGACTTTCTTGGCTTTCACTGCTTCATCTTGTTCATAAATAACGACAGCAGCCTCTGGATAATTTTTTTTTAATTTAAACTGAATTGAATTATTGCAAAAAAATGTTTTATTTTGATATACTTACTTAGTCTGAAATCGTTCATTGAATCAACGATGGCATCAATTTCCAAATCTTCTAAGGCATCTTTGCCTCCCAAGTTGAATTGTTTGCCAAGATACCGAGCAATTGCCAAGCTTTGGTTTATTTGTTTACCGTCGATTTCCAAAACTGGGACTTGTCCGAATGGGAATGCTGATAAAAAAAATCAGTTAAAATTTTGTCACAAGAAAACAGTCATAGTTAAGTGCCTACTCAACTGTTTTTAACTGCTGGCCAGTTTTCCTTCTCCAACCTGACGTCTTCAAAATCGGCTCCTCCATAAGACAACAACAAGCGCAATGGTTCAGCCAAAGCCTTAACGTTGAAGTATGTCAACTTGTATGTCGGCATTTTAAATTAACTTTTGGGTGATAATACTGAAACAGATGCCAATGTGATTATCAAATAATTTTCAACAACTGTGCGGGCGTAATCGCAATTATGCATATGACCGTGTGATTATTATACAATTATGTTATATTTGATATTATATAATCGTTTGCTCATATATTAGAAGTCATGATGTACAAATGAGATAACAGAATGATAAATGATCCAGCAAGTAATCATGAGTGCACGAATTTTGTTTGAATTGTTTTGTATTGAACCTGTTTTAGGTACCGCTATTTTTGAAAGGGCAACGGTTTGTTAGTTGGTTGAAAATCGGACGAGCGTGGGATTAAGATATAAAATCAGTGAAATGGAACTAGAGATAATCGAACTACTTATTTGGAAATGGAAATTTAAACTTGTTCGCTGGTAATATACAGTGTAGAACACTAATATCATTTTAATGGTTTTGAGCAATTGTTACAAAAAAGGGTTAAGTGGAATTTTGCCAGTTGAGTCAAGTTTTATGTACTTTTTGATGATATTTGCTTTTTACTAAAAACTAATCAATGCTATTTTCATGAGACTGAGAGCGAGACTGATTTTACCTAAATTTAATGGTTTTTATAATTAAATCACTTTTCATAGGCCTATAATATTTCAGGGCCGTGGTTTCCAAACTTTTCGTACTAAAAAATCTAAAATATTATTTAAAAAATATTCATTTATTTTTATATATCACTTCAATTTTTTTTCAAATTCAAATCACAGTCTCTCTTGCAACAGTCTTGCGCCCATATGAGGGGGCGCGCCCCACAGGTTGGGAACAACAATTTTAGGGTGTTCATTAAGACCATGAGTTTTATAACCTTGTTTTAATTATGAAGAAACGGTTTTGCTCATCTATACCAAAAATTAATTACCATGATTTCTAACTGATATTTTTAAAATAGTTTTTGATTTTTCAAAATCGGTTCAGGATTTTAAGCAATAACGTTGACAAAAAAGGTTGCAATTTCCTAGTAAATCTAAAGGCTTGGCTGATCGTTGCTCAAAACTAACAACCGCGAGTCCTTATCGAGATTCATCAAATAGCTTTTAAATTTTCAAAATCAGTGTAATCATTTTTGGAAAAAAACTCGGTGTTATTAAATTTCTTTGTCAAACGATTCAGTATGACTCCAAACGTCGAGAAAACGAAGTTAGAAAAACAGGTATTCTGCCGAAAACATGAACATCTCTTTCAGGAAGTAAATAATTACACATAATAATTTCGTTAAAACCTTGAACAGCGCGATTCAATTACGACAATCAAACATTGTGTTATTTTTTCTAACAAAATTCATGTAGCGACAAATTTGTATTTCATTAACTAGAATTAATTTAGATTGATTAGTTTACAAAACAAATTTATTTACGCGAAACCCACACATGTATATCTAAGGTATTTTTAGATTATGCAATCGAATTAAAATTACTCATACCAAGCAAGCAAGTATGTTATGTACGCCCATAGTATGTATTTACATTCACAGTTGCTCCACAAACCAACCGGCCGGCAATTAATGAATATTGAATGCATTTCCTTAATTGTTCTCGATTTAATTCCACACATTCGTATTGTATATTGAATTATTGCCACACTTACATAAATTAAGAAACAACAGTAGGTTGGATTTGAAACTCACCTGAAATTGCCTGAAATTATTCGAGCTGAGCACTCGCGAACCGTACGTACAATTGTTAGACAGGAACTGCGAACGGTGGACCCGCTCCTCCTTTATATAAACTAACAAACTCGATGAGATAGCAGATATTTCACAGGCAGATACGAATCAGTAATATGTTATGATGATTAGTAATAATTTTTACAAAATTTGATTTGTGAAACGTTAGCTACTTTGTCCACTTCGCAAATAAAAATAGTAAGTGTAGTACGCTTTAAAGGAAAATTATTATTTTGTTGACGTTGATATTGATCGTTATGGCAACCACATGTATACACTAATTGATGTTTTATATATTTGGTATATTTGCGACCATTTTTATTCAAAAATACTTGTTATAATGGGTAAAACTGGACGAAAATTTGTTTTGAACTATTTGAATTGCTCGTTATTATTTCGTATGTACGTTGTTTTAATTTAAAATACTGAAAAAAATTAAATAGATGTTGAGTTTCAAAAAATGAGAAGCACTAATTAATATATGCACATAGTTATAAAACAATAAAAACTATATTAAAATGAAATAAATAAATGAATAAAGAGATACTGTTCCTGTGATCATACTATCATGAAAATTTTCAACTTGATGTGAACTTGATTGAACATTTTCAAAATGGTATGACCATAAGAACTGTACCTTTAAATGTCTCTTTTATTTAATTTTAGTAATAAAAATAGAATTTATTTTATTGCTTGTGTATATATTAATAAGTGCTTTTCATTTTTTGTGTTTTGTTTGAATTATTTGCATGCACTGATGATAGGTCAAACCAAAACTCGAAACTTATGCTATTCTACTAAAGACATTCTTCTTTGTTAAATTGTTTCTGTTATTGGACGGATGTCTTCAATAAGTCTCGATCTCTCAAATATAAGGGGGCGTCAATTAATTACGCCGTGATCGATTTTTTAAGGACTTTTAGACCATCCCTTTCCCTTGGTGATACGTGATGATATTAAAAATTGACCCTCCTCCCCCGCCAAACATTACGTGTATTTTTAGGTACGAGCAAAAATTGCAAAATCTTTGATTTTTTTTAAAAAATAGGTAAAAATAAATACACGTGATATCTTACTATACTCTTTCTCCCCTACGTGTTATCTTTTGTCAAACCCCCCACCGTTTAAGAACCTTAGGCCTCCTAAAAAATATAAGCAATTTTTTTAAGTTATCAATGCTGTGATTATCTTTGATTATGGAAATACATTCCAGTTTTGCCTAATAACGGCCTAATAACGGAAAATTAGTGGGAAGCCTCGATTTTGTCAAATTTGAGAGACTGTTCAACAATAAGTCCTGATGCGTAATGCAATGGTTTTTAACCATTTTCGCACCGCCTTCCCCGCCCTAACAAAAAAATTGCCTCCCCTCCCGTTAATTTTTTCAACAATTTCATTTCATAAATACTCAATTGATATTATCAGACGACGACGACAGGTTAACATGCAATATTATGTAAAAATATGCTTAAAAATATATTTTTTTTAGTTTATTTTTTATATCATTTCAAAACTTTTGGTTTAGTTTTGAAAATAGGATTTTGGAAACGGCTTTACGCGCCCCTCTAATAACACACTTTGAAGACCGCGGGACGATGTATGACATAAATAAGCAAATTGTATTAATTGATTTATTAATTCTATATGTTTACATTTGATTACACAAATACAATCAATTTTCGATAACTATCCAACGGCTAATAACGGAAAATTTGAATAGCCGAACTCGCGATAATTTTGCCCATTCGCGCTGAATCATGGCACGATGAGTGTTCGTCGTCGTCTTCTATATTGGACTCGTATCGCGAGATACCAGCAATCAGTCAGTCATTTGACCAAGGACGAATTTGTGCGGAAATAATGGGCCTACGTGTATTTCATTGATTTACCACGATCATCAAGAAAAAATTATTAACACTGACTCATAATAAAACAATATGTGTGAAACGACCGATTGATAGATCGAAAAAATGCTACATCACTCACTCCACACGGTGGGGATAATGAAAATTATTGACTAGAATTTGATGACAAAATCATTCGTTCTAGAAACTATATAAATAGTAGTTATTTCCCAAAAAGTTAGTAAAGTAGAATTAATTAACATAATAGCACGTTTAACTCCTAATTATTGTATATTTCATTAGCAATAAGAACTAGATTTTGATGAGCTGCTATGATGAAATTTCTTAATCTAGTGTTAATAAAATTAAAGTTTTTCTTAAAAGTATATATACTTATAATATTATTACTATTTCTCAGAAGTCTCAGCTTTGCTTACGGAGATTCCGGCTCTATTTTGGTTGAAATACACTCAAAAATCATTATTATTTTGTTATTTTTATTTTTGTAAATAATTAGAAATTAATTCTGTGTATTGCAGACCTATTTTCGTACTTCTGTTAATGAAACATTATACTTTTCAATGACAATTATCGCTCTCTGCTTGAATATCATGTCATTGTACATCTATTTATTAACACTTTCATTTTTAAAGTTAATTTCAAAATAATTGTAACTATTTTAAATATATTTGTGCGTCTAAAAATTTCGCAATTGAACGTTATTTTATTTAAGGGCTTTAATATGTTTCATTTAATATGCTATCATTATTCTCTATAATATTATATGCAGAAATCCTTTTAATTGTTTCGGGCATAGAAAATCAATGTCCTTTAAGACTTTTCTCAAATGTCAAAAGGGAAGTTGTTATTTACGTCACCAATATCGCATTACTTATAATCAATATACTTTTCGTGTTTATAAATAATGAATAAACCCTTTTCACTTAATGAAAATGTACAAATGTCGTGTACATACTCTGTCGAATGAGACCTTTAATGGAATAACATAATTTGCTCTGACTGAACTACATATATGTACTAGGTAGGTGTCCTCGAGAGCCGGCAATAACTTATTAATATAATTGCTGTATAAATACTTGTATCTGTTACTAACACACTTTCTTCATTCATGATTAATTGAAATGTTAAGAATTTATTACTAGATACCGAATATAATATTGAATGAAAAGCTTTCTTGTCCAGAGACTCGATTCGGGATGGAAGCAACCAGGTCTGGTGTAACTCTTTTCATTTATCTCAAATCAATCTAGATATCCTTTTACGACTTACTTAGGTCTAAAGTCAATCACGTTCTTCTTTTCACGTCCATGATTTTTGTAATGTTCAACATCAGCGAGTTGAGATATTTCCGAAAACGTACGAAAATATTGAGAGAAATTCCGATTGTTTTTTATTCTTTATTACAGATGCATTCCAGGTATCTAGAGTCAGATATATAAGTGTTTTAAAAGTATTTTATAGTTTTTTAAAAAATTATTTGACTTAAGATTATACATTTGAGGAACGAAAAAATAATTGGGAGCAATTGCAACTACATCCACCAAAGATTTCTTAATATTCTATATATTATATTTCAATTTTCCAGTTTCTAGGAAGTCTAGTTTTAAATTTAGTAAATTAATGATTCATGTGTTTTTCACCTGCATAAGTCATGGGTTATTTAGCTATTTATTCAAACTGTGGTTAAACAAAAGTAAATCAACCATGGTTAAGTATAGTAGATATATATATATATATATATATATATAATTATATATATATATATATATATATTACTGATACTGTTAATTTTTCGATAACTTCAAAGAAAATTATTTTTTCATTTTTGATATCTTTTGTTTGCACAGAGTACAACAAATAACTTTTTACGATCACACCATGTTTGTTTAAATTAATCGAAGAATATTATCAAATCATAATTCACTTGATAATACCAAGAAAATTGCTGTAAATTTGATAAAAAAATATGATGACTATCTAAATAATATTAATTTTAAAATATAATATATTCAGCCGGAAAAATTTGATATAGTTACATAAATTATTTAAAAATGCTTTTAATCATCAATATTTTCTTTAGAAGCAGACTAAGATAAAATTCTATAAAGTATTTAAGTGTAAACAAGTATACATTTCTTCAATTAATTGTTTTTGAATATTTGTTCGATAAACTTCAAGTATGCGATTGCAATATAATAAGAGTGCCTTATCAAGCTGAATATTTTAAATGTTTATTATTAATAACTAACTATTATTCACTACTAACAATCGCTTATGAACAAAATTGATATTATAATTTATAATTTTAAAAACTTTAGTAGTATAATCTTTTCCGTAGTTATTAAAAATTACGTAATTTATCAAAATTATATTCCTCGGATTTATAATTGTTTTAGTATTATTTTCATGAACACGCGATCTAAATTAAAAATGTTTATGAATTTTTGTTGATTTTTTTATTTATCAATTTTTTGTTTGAAAATGATTAGAACATTGCTATGTTTATCTTTTGAGCTTTTTTTGCTAGGTGCAAATGTTTGTATAAGTCAATCAATAATTATTTAATCTTTTTAAACTTATTTACGTTTTTTATTAATAACGATGTTGCGTGTTAGGCAAATAAAAAATAACTAATCTGTAAATTCTTTTAAACTCTATAATTGTTTGAAGATGTATGTATTTATCGATTTTTATATTTTATTACATTTATATGCTTTCAAACAATATTTTTGAATAAATGCACATTTATAGCAAAACTTTAAATAATAATTAATTAAATTTAACGATCAGTTTTAGATCTTTTCTGTAATCATTTTTACCTTTGGTAACATTATCATAATCTCTATAAATTATTTATAGAGGGTTATTTAAATTATTACAAATACACATTTTAAAACAACATTTTGAATGAACATTTATAGCAAAACCCTTATAAGTAATAATATCAAATTAAAGATCAGTTTGAGGTCTCTTCTCCATCCACTTTTGCACTGAGGCAAACTGGTAACATTATCAAAAACGCTTTTTAATCCAGGAAATTGTCCAAGAAAATCGGTTCCTGAAACGAAGCTCATGTATTCTACTGCTCCAGCAAAGTAAAAATCAGCCCATGTCAACTGAAATAGAAAAATGGATTAGTAATGAATATTTATAGAGAAAATATTCATAAAGAAAAACGTACTCGTCCAAGAGCCATGTGTCCATTGTTAGACTTTGCAATTTCTTCGAATTTCTCTGAATAGAAAGGTACAATCGTTTCGTGAACTTCTTTCATCTTTTTTTCTTTAACGTCCGGATCGCTTTCCCAATAAGCTACTGATAGTTCTGAAAATTTAAACCATATCTTATCAATTCAAGTGCACTTTTTAATTGAAACTCTATTTCTGGTTTTATTATTATTACTTATTCTGAAGTCATTAACGGAGTCGACAATGGCATCTATCTCCAAATCTTCTAGATCGTTGTTACCTCCAAGTCCAAATTTTTTACCCAAGTAGCGCGAAAGTGCCAAGCTCTGGTGCCACTCTTTACCATCAATTTCCAACAAAGGTAAGACACCGAAAGGAGTTTCTAAATAATACAAAAATAATATATAATAACTGTTGCAATAATGAGTTTGTAATAAAAAATAACATACTTGGTTTTAAGGAGGGCCATTGATCAAATGTGACACGAACATCTTCAAATTCAACACCGCCATAGCTCAACAAAAATCTTAAAGCTTCGCCAATTCCTTTCACGCCGAAGTATGTCAACTTATAAGAAGCCATAGTTAACACTTATTTTTAATGTATTTATTAATATAAAATCGAAGAAAATTAGATTTCTATTTCAGCTTGTGTGTGGGTATGAACTCTGACCGTCTGTTCTCTTCGGCGTTTGTTTTCAAACTGAGACACCTCGAATTGTATGTAAAATATATACAATCGACAACGAATCGCGTTATATAATTACAACAGAGTTTTGGCCTTGACGATATAAATGGATTTGTCATCGCCTAGTGGAAAAGATGCTTTTAAATATTATTAAATTGGATGAATACAGAGATTTCTTTACACGCAGATCTGCGGAATGTGGAAGAATTCAATAAATATACTGTGGGAAGTTATAATCTTATTTTTTAGTTATGAGAATAAGATTCAATACTAAATATGTATATATAAATATTTAAGTAAAAAACTAATTAACATAGTAACAAGTGCCAGTTTCAGAAATCCAGTAAACATTTTTGGAAAGCCGCTTAGTGAGTGTGAAACCTGAAACTACCGAATATTCGTGCTTGATGTTTCCAAAATGAGTTTTGAAAATGTTAATTGTTTGTCTTTACTTAGTTACAAGTGAGTAATATTATTATCGTATTTTTGGTGTATCAAATCAAAATGTAATAATATTCTATGAATTACAGTGCTCTATTTTGACTAATACATACAGAGAGTCAAAACAAAAACAATTTATATGGAAAGTTTCTATAGTAAGTAATTATTCCAGTGAATAATTACTTATTTGGTCATTTTACAAAGATTTAACAGTAGGTAAAAATATAACTACTTGTAAGTGATATTTTGCTTTATCGACTTTATCAATAAAAATTGAGATTAGATAAATTTTAAAGTTGTGACGATAGCATTTACAACCGTTAGTTATTCCTAATTTCAACGAATTTTTATAATTAAATCACTTTTCGTTGGCCTATAATACTTTAGGATTCTTTGTTAAGACTCGAACTTTATTAAAAAAAAGATTATTTACCAAAAAAACGATCAGACCGATCTTTACCAAAACTAATCAGCCCAACAGTTGTTTAATTTTGAAAATCGGTTCAGGATTTTTGGCAAAGGGTTAGCAAATCCGATTTTCTAGCGAAAACTTAAAATTCTTCAGAAATTTAAATTTGAATACCACATTATGTTCATAGTTCGCATTACATGGTAAATTTGCGTCAAAAGCAGGTAAATAAAGCCAATGCTATTGTAATCAATTTTACCTGTGCTATAATGCATTTTTTTGCATTTGACTTAAGAGTCCTATAAGCTGATGATTTTTTTTAGCTACGCTGCTTTTTCAGGAGGCAAACCCAACAATTGGCCTTTCTCTATTTGGTTAAAAAAGTTAATAGTGTTACCTTGAGAAGGGACATTTTTAATGGGACACATAAAATGATACCAAAAAAGCTGTTTTATATTAATCATACATTATAATAAAAAAAATAGCTTCGTTATTTAATTGTTTATTTTTATATTTCACAAGATGTACAATTACAAATCAGTTTTTGGCCTCTTGGCGATCCATTCCTTCACGTTCGGCAAATTTGCAACATTATTAAAGACACTCTTGAATCCTGCATATTTTCCAAGGAAATCTGTTCCAGATATGAAACTCATATATTCGATAACTCCGGCGAAAACAAAGTCGGCCCAAGTTAGCTGAAATTAAAAATTTAGTCTCATAATCAGACGTATTTATTATGATATAAATAGGTTGTTTTCATACTCTTCCAAGAGCTAAATGGCCGTTATTAGCCTTCGCTATTTTATCAAGTTTTTCTGTATAAAATGGGATGAGTGTATCGTGTACTTCTTTCATTTTTTTCTCCTTTACAGCCGCATCTTGTTCCCAATAGGCCATCGTCAATTCTGGAATAAAAAATTAGTAGATCAAGATTATTTTCAGGTCCAACAAGCAAGTCGACAAAGTTAAATATAATGCACACAAGATTCTATATGAATAAATAAAATAAATAGATTTCAGTAGCATTATTTTTTTTCAGTTTCAGGTCAAACGCTAGTTGACTAAGCTAATTATTTTCTCTTGACGCAACCACCAGGTGAAAAACTTTTGACTATTTATAACTCTTCAAATCTTGTGTTGATTAGAAATAATAATTTATGAATTTATTAAAATATTACTATATCTGAAATCGTTCAGGGTATCGACTATTGAGTCAATTTCCAACTCCTCCATTAGATTTTTGCCCCCGAGCCCGAATTGTTTTCCCAAATAGCGCGAAAGTGCCAAACTCTGGTGCAGTTCCTTTCCGTCGACCTCCAATACCGGCATTACACCAAATGGCATCTCTGGGTAATGATTAAAGCATTATTTTTATAGATATCGTTAACTATTAATAAAAAAAATATTTCAGTTACTTGGTTTAAGTGCAGGCCATTCTTCAAATGACACTCGGACATCTTCGAATTTTATGTTCCCATAGCTTAGTAGAAGTCTCAAAGGCTCTCCTATTCCTTTGAGGTCGAAGTATGTTAATTTGTAAGTAGGCATATTGTTCTCACTACAAAACAATTTATACTGATTATTTATTTAATTGTTTTTATTTAAATAAATAACTTCAATTGTCCATTCACCGACCTTATCTCAAGCAGTTAACAAACTCAACTGATAAACGTGAATTATCTTGCAAGTTGCGCTTGAAAAAATATACACACATATTCTCTTCTTTTATATATGTATACACAAATACCAACCAACCACATTATATAATTATTAGATTAATTTAGCCTTGATAGCGCGAAAATGGCATAGTCATTGTACTACATATTTCCATGTATTTGCTAATTTTATGTAGATAAACTAATATGATTTTTGTAACATTACTATTATCTAAAATTTATGTACATGTTATTAACAATTATTTATCTATGTATAAGAAAATTCATTATATTACATATATGTACATTAATATGAATTTTGAATTTTTCAGTTGACGCTTCGACATTGCACCATATCAAACATAGATGGCAGGAAAATTTGTCTGAAGTTGAATTTCTGTCACTTTCGCTCTTAAGGTTGACTACAAATCATCAATAATTGTGCTCTAAATACATTAATATTAATTAAATGGCTAATTTTATATGAACTCATTGTTTCCAAAATGTCAGAGTGTGGGCTTCCTATTATAGGCCCTGACGTTGAATTGGCTGAGGTATTTATCTTATATGTTTTTATTGAATCTCATTAGCTGCTATATCTTCATCATCGTTGTAGGTAGCACCTCTAAATCCTAAACGAACATTAGCTTTTGTAAATCATTTTTTAATCAAAACGGTCACATTTATTAACAATTTTGCTAATGTATGCGAGTCCCATTTTATAGAGTTCGAAAGAAAGATACAGAAACTAGAAGCATCACTCATAATTTTAGAGTCAAAGGTATGTCTTAAAGCGATATTGGCTTGGCTGTAGAGCATTTGTTACAAACAAAACTGTTTCAGTTGTCATCCATACCAGGGCTTGATGATAATTCGATCAAGCCCGACATTTTGGATATAGAAACACAAAACAAAGAGCATTTAGATTTACCTGATATTGCTACGAATAATATATCTGTAGATGATAACAAAGTAGATATACCTGAAATAAAAGAAAATTGTGTCAGAGCTTGTGATGACATTAGGTATAAGAGGTTTTTCAAGATGTTGCAGTTCGGTGTTCCTGCACCGGCTGTCAAACAAAAAATGCAAGTAGATGGTCTAGATCCTAATATTCTTGAGTAAGTATTTTGTTGATTGTTTAATTACACTCCAGTGCTTTATAGCATTTTCACTAATTTTCAAAATGACAACTTTAGCCATATAGAAAATACTAAATCTATATAAAATATATTCATTAAATATTGCAGCGATCCAAATCAAGTATTATCAGATGGTTGCATGGAAGAAGTTGTTTCATCAAGTGATAGTGATGATTAACTTATATTTTTATATGGCTAATTAAGTGTTTATATCATAATACTTAGAAAATATATCTTTAAATAAAATCATCTGCAATTTGCCATTTTGATTACAGTCCTGGATACAATGGTTAAATGTTAATTATTCTATGAAATTAAAGCGTACAATCTCAAATTTTCATTTTAATATTACTATCGTGTAAGTTTTCTTGTGTTTTTTTTTTTCAAAGCATTTTATTTAGAGATGTATATCGCGAATAATAGCTTAAACAACAAAATATGCTTCAAGTTGGGATTCTTTTCTTATTACAAAAAATCAATAGAAATTTAAATATATATACATTATATTACAATTAACATTACTGTTAAAGTTTAAGGTAAATTCTATTATCCAAACTATAATACGTTTTTACATAAAAATGATTTATTTGACATATCCTCAAGTAGTTATCTAGAGCATCAGTGTAGGCATCGTCTTTACGAAGAGAAAAGTAACTAGAGCAAAATTTACGATGTTGGCTATAGATTATGTAAAGGTATCGTTATGAATTAAAATTTATTATCTGAAAATACATATTGTTATAGTTATATTATTGATAATTTCATTTACATTTTTAATATTTTGCTTATGCAATAGAATTTTTAAAAGCATTTTATGCTCCAAATACGAAATATTTTATCTTTTAAAAAAAAGAACGTTTTTTTTTCAAAACAAATATTACATCAGCAATTACTGATTTTCCCACATGATATAATAGCTAAGACTTTGACTGCCATACTCCATTTGTCGAACTTCAGCGTTTTATGCATATAATACACGATAAATTATAGTACCCTGAATGAAAACCAACGAAAATAATATTTTTGCTTGAGTAACTAAAGCGGAATACGCCATGTTGAATGACGTCATATTCAGTTGGGACCCCTGATGGATGATTTTGGCACTAAAATGTAATCTCAAACCCATAGCATCATTTGATTGAATTGTACTCTCGAAACCCTCTTTCTAAAATATTTGATTTTTCTAAAATCATATTTATTAAGGTTTCGTTGCGTTTTTAAATGTTACGACAACTCGTATATGGTTATCATAAAACATCTTTCTCATTAAAATAAGTTAAAAACATAATTCAGTCCATAATAACGAGTCGGCCAATCAGAATCGAACTCCGCGCCATCTTCGCTTCACTACTAGGCGAGAACTTAGCCGGTCAGTCGTGATTAAGCTTTCGGCGGGTGCACATCTTGCAAATAATATTGTAATAAAAGTAATAAATTCAATAATTTATTAAGATGAGTACCGAAAAAGAAACAGAACCATTTTTTCTGCAATTAGCTGAAAATGCAAAAGACAAAAAGGGAGCAGTAGCCAAAAAGTGTGAAATTAAAGGAACGAAAAGGCCCGCAGAGGTATGTAAATTCTATTTTTAGCTTTATTAGTTACTATTAATGTTTATTTTTACACGTCGCCTAATAATTTTACCTAATATTTATCAATTTCATGTTTTTCGAATCGTGTTTTCATCTTGTTTATAAGGAATGACTTGTTCGCCATTGTGCCCAAGTGTAATGGCATTTATATATCGCTATATAAGTGTATTTCAAGATTTTGTTACCGCGTCGAAGTAAATTTAACAGCAATTTATACGTTCATTGTCGATTTTTTGTTGTGTAGCGGGGTTCTCCCGCGCAAGCCGGTTCGGCATGGTATCAGTTCGACTTTATTAAAAATGGCGGCCTTTCTTTAATTCGTGTTTGCATTAAAATATCTTAACAAATCTAAATGCGTTTCTGTTTATTTTCAGTCATTATTCATTTGTCATAAATAAAATGTAGATTCGCGCGTTGCTCGTATATGTTTTGATTTTCGAATGACCCTTAATGGCGACGCTCTACAAGCATGCCGGCATTTGAGCGCTTGTTTTCCTAAATCTTAATAATATATGATGTTACGTGATGCACCATTGTAAGTGCACCAGAAGAATTGTATGTTTTGCTTGTTGTTTTTATTTACATGCTTACATCTTAAAATTGTCGAAGGTGACGCGTTAACATATTCTGTTTTTTATATATGCTGTGTTATTTTTTTGGAAATGAAATCAATAACTGTGCGAAGTTTTGTTGTAGTATAATGTTTTAAATGATGTATTTGTATGATGGCGTTTCTGTTTAATTGGCGTCTTGTATTAACGATTAATGGTGTGATGTTTATTTTATTATTAGATTGTGTTCGCGACTCTGCGTTTGATGTTATTCGAGTTCCCCCTAATAGTATACAATGTGCGTTCTCTTTCTTTGCCCGTTGGGTCCGTCTCTTTTCCGCGCGGATACCTTTTCAACATGGCAACTGCTGCGTGCGTAGCTTGTAGTTTGTAGTATCCACAAACACAATCCACGATTCACAAGTTTGAAACAGGGGAGGGAAATATACGGCATACGTGCCTTTCATACGAACCGTCATGGTTGTTTACGCATCGTAAGAGTTGGAGATCAATGTTGTGCCACTAGAAGAAATATGTATGATTGAAATTATGATGATCCCTGGAATTTACATATCATTGATAGTCGAGTATTTCGTCCCACTTTTACTTTGAATTAAATTCCCAAATATTTGTGACGTAATTAATTTCCAAACTAAATTGTAAATACGATGTTTCGTTGTCCGATAACACGACGATAAACTTTGATTAAACGTTATGTGATAACGTCATGATTCAATTATAATTAACTATGTATGTTCAATTTTCAGGATAAAGCGGCCGAAGTGAAAAAACCCCGCAAAGAAGCCGAAAATGGTGCCGGCGAAGAGGAAGAGGAGGCGGAGGTAGAGGACTATGAGGGCGAGGAGGATAGTGAGGAGGAGCTCCCAGAGGGCGAGGAAGGAGAGGAAGTAGAAGAAGAAGAAATCGGCGAAGGTGAATATTCATTTTGCCAATTTTTTTTTAAATTTTCATGATGAGACGATGACGAGACTGAGATGTTGTATTGCTATGAACGTTGCTTTTCTTCGTGAGTTTTTCATTAAGATTAGTAACAATCATATTGGGTTCAATTTCTTAGATGACTTTTGGCAATCTGATCGTATATCTTAATCCTATGTTTGGATTGATTTAATATGACATATTTCACTAATATATTATAAATCTATTTCAGATGAGGAAGAAGACTATGAAGAAGAAGACGAGGATGATGCATAATGTTCTTAATACTTAATAAGCGAGAAAAATAAAATCAAAGACTATATTATATCTCAGTCAGTGTGTGGTGAAACGTTTGTAAGCTATCATCGAAGGCAATTTAACAGCAAAAACTACAAAAAATCTAGCAAAGGTGCGCATTTGAAGTGGATGTATTTAATAGTAAGGTCTCTGCAATGTTAAAATTCTTGTCATTTGAGTGGATCCACGTGAAAATCGCACCTTGTGCAATACTGACTTCATAGTTTGGATATAGATGTGCTTTTCTGCAATCTCTATCAAAACTTCTTTAATTTTGTATGCATTTTTTAGAGAATTGTTTATATCTTATTTTTTTATTTTTATATTTATATTGTAAATAATAAACTTATTTTATTTTTGGAACATAGGCCCACTCAATTGTCGACAATTCTTTTACTAGTTGCTGGGGCCATACCCCGTTATTAACTATATTAAGTATAATGTAATGTACAGGCTTCGATAAACAGCCTGTATTGTTAGGTGTTATGTACAAATGATTAAAATAAAAAAAAATGCAAAAAGTGTGCTCGATGAAGTGTATTCATACTGCCGAGATCTTTCTGTAACACATCTTATTTTATATTTAAATATAGAGAAAAACCAAAAAAAAATTTATACTTGCAATCACTTTAATTTTTTATATTTAATTGTCAATTGACCTAATTTTAACTTGTGTGTGGCAGTTATATTATTTATGATTGTGTGTTATTAAATTATTTAATCAAAGGTCAGGTATGCAAAGATAAAGTATATAATTTATATACAAATATATGAATGGTGTGAAAACATTTCTGTATGTTTATATTTTTGAATCCAACACTTGTCTAAAATTAGTAGAAATACGTTACGTTTTCACCACTGACGATTTTAATTGAGAATAAATGTACAAAATCTTAATCTGAAGCAATGTGGATTGGTTTATATTTGCATTGTAGGTATATTAATAAAATTTTAAGAGTTTAGCATAATTTTAGATTATTGATCGTAAACACTTAAAGATCTTGTCTGTTGTCAAAATTCTCCTAGGGGTTGACGCCTTATTTTTGTGCAAATTGTTGTAAGGCGTAAGTTCCATGGATTATATTATGGCTTAAGATATCACGTCGACCTCATTCCACTTAATAGATTCATCATTTTTCATGTTGGAGTTCGATGCATATTTTTACTATAATACATTAAAAACTGAAAATTTGTCTTTTATTTTGTAGAGTGAAATGCTGAGTATTTGTAGATTATTTGTAATGTAAATTTACTAAGTAATAAATTGTTAATAATTATTGGTAGAATGACCTACATTTTTAGCGTTTTCTTCCATATTAACTAATCTCACATTCATTCATTCATTTTCCTACCTAGTATAGTGTACCCCAATTTGACAAGGGAAAGTTGAAAAATAATTCGCATTGTACTCCGTGTGCATTCGAAAAAAGGGGCACGTGGTGTAGTTGGACCAGGTGCGTTTTTAGCTAGGGTGAAAGATGCGAGAATGCCGCCACCGTATTGGAATTCGATATAATTGTTGATTCTAAAATTAAATTTATTAATAATTATTTTATATTCATCATGTTTGTAAAAATTTATTAAAACATGCATGTTCTTCGGAAATGTGAAGTAGCATATTCATTAGCTTTATGTTTCAATACTTGTGTATGCATGTGTATAAGGGTCAAAATTTGGTTTTTGCCGACGTTTTCTTTAAAACAGCTGTACCAATTCCAATATTTTACAATCCATTCGTATAATTTGACGATTTTAATTAAACTTTTATTAATTTTGTTATCTAAATGGACATCCATAAATATTATAGGCCTACAAAAAGCGATTTATAATTATCAAAAATCATATTTTTGGATACGTTGCTATTCTCTAAGCGACATGCTTTGAGGCAGAATGCCACTTACACCTAGGGTATTCAATAAATACGTATTCGTTAAGATTATAAGTATTGGTAACGCGCATTTGAAGATACGCTTTCTCCCCTCTATTATTGGTTTTGTGAGAAGGATGGAACATGTCCTCCGCCCCCCGCCACGTCCCGGCGGGTCCCTACTTTTGTCATCGCTGTCGTCTCTCTTCGAAGCGATACATTCGTTTCGTCGTTTCGGAGGGAAACCGAACGCTGGGACATGAAACAATGCTAACTTTTTTCAAGGAAACCTATTTACTCTATTAACAACGACACTAAATTTTTTATATTACAAAAATATTTTTTTTTTATTTACAAGTGATAATTAGAAAGATCGTACATCGTATTTATTCTTAAAAGTAACATTCATTCATTCAATTATTCAATCTCAGATCATCTATTATTTTTAAAAATTTTTGTCTTTTTGTCAGTGCTGGATTACCTCATGGGTCTGGCACAATTTTGGAACACGGCAATTAACTTAACAAAAATTGTATCCAATGTATTTTTTTGTGTGTATATACATATATATGTATTGATTGTTTCTTTTCCGAACAGTAAATCCAATAATAAATCTATTGAATATATATGTATATACACACAAAACAAAAATTTGCGACGAATTCGAAAGGACTGTTTAACCGAAATAAGAATTCATTACCTTGCTCAGAGCAAAGAATGACAAAATGTTGATAAATATGTTTGAGAAAAATCCGTGGATTTAACTTACCTATATCAATTAATATAATATTCAGTAAATTATTTAAAAAAAAAAAATAGTTAATTAATTAGTTTAGTTAAATTAGCCATTTTAAATATATTTCCAGTCTTATAGTTTTCTTTTTTTTAGCAGTTTCTTCATGGTTCAACTGCACTTTAGATTAGGTCTGCGTAATTTTCGTCTTAAGATATATTGTAATGAAAATATCTTTTATTTTCTCATATTTAAATTTATAGCTAATTGAAATATTTGAATATTAATATATTTTCTAGGTATTTAAATTTCGTTAACTTTTTTTTTATTTGGTTTTCAACCTTATCCTTTTATCCTTGTACCAACGCAATGAAAAATACACAATGCATCCCTAGATTAAGCGTCTTGCCAATAATTTTGGATATTATTTTAAACATTAAACATTTTTTTGTATTAGTAATAGTACATTTGGTAATTATTTAATTTATTGACTTCATTACTAAAAAATTACTTATATTTTATTGATGATGGTGATGCACTGTGATCAATTGCATAATATTCCAATGCATTTGCATGTTTATAGTACAATAATTAATGTCACAATAATTATACAAATGATTATATTCGTACAAGACAGAATAATCTGATTTAAATCAACTTTTCATTGTATTCTCGCCATGGTAACTATTTTGTTTTATCAATTATAATCAACAAAATTAATTTAGAAGCTGTTAGTGTTTTATACAAATCTTTATCTTATTATATTAAATAATTTTTTTACAATGGATTCAGAGAAATCACAAATTGATGATGAGGAGGAATACTATGAAGACTTTGAAACTGATTCATCGATCGTTGACAAAGGAAAAAAACAATATTTTGGAAAACATCAGCTGGACGAAGGGTATTGATCTTTTAATATGGATTTTTGAAGTTTGTGATTAAATCTAAATGGGGTTTGATTGATTAGTGTTCCTGAGGGACCAGAAATATTGGAACCAGACCATCCACTTCTGATAAAATTTCAAAAACATCTTAAAGAACATCTTAATAAGTTACTCCTTCGCTGCAATGATGAAATCCTTGAATTGGTTTGTTATTGTTATAATCACAATATGTAAAATATAATCATTGACATTACATCTTGATTATTTTATTTTAGGAAAATGATTATAAAAAGAAGGATGCAAAGCGGGAGGAAGTTGGGTTGGAACTTTATGATTTGCAAAATGAAATAGTTAAACAACAGGTTGTGTTAAATTTAAATACTTATTTAACTTATTTATATATTAACAAAATTAAATAAATTTTTAATAGGATGTTCTTGGAAATTATGTAAAAAGCTTTGAAGATTTATCAAGTCTTAGAGCTAAAATTGAGGAAAGAATTGAAAAAGAAAGAAATGTATACAAAGACCTTACAGAATCTTTAGACTTGGAATTGAAAAAGCGTATGTTTGTACTTATAATCATATTACAATAGTTGATTTCTTCAATGTTAAATCCTTTTTAGAAAACAGCTGCCGATTGGAACTGGAAGAAGCAAATCGCTTAGAAAGACAATTGTTGGACTGGGAACGTACTACACAAGATGAACTAATGATCAATCAGCGTATTGCAGATAAAGATAGACTTGATAAACAAAAATTAATAGACGAACAAAAGCAATTGGTAACAATTTACATTCAGTTCTGTAAATAATAAGCAGTATTGATTTCATGATTTCAATTATTCAGGATCTTATTATGTATAATTTGACATCAGAAATAGAAAAGTTGGAATCTGAAAAGAATATGTTGGAAGTGCAAATTGAGAAACTAAATGGTAAAATAGATTTCTTGGAGCAAAATATATCTAATGCAAATGCAGATTATCAGGTAAACACTGGGTATTTTCTTAGAATAATAATAAGGTAAAATGTTACTAATTATTTTTTATAGACACTACATAAGGAGAAAAATCGTTTATTGCAACTATGGAGTGGAGTTGTTATAAATATACAGCAAAGGGACAATCTATTAATAAACTGCAGAAGAGAATTAAAGTTAATATAAAATTTTAAATATTTAATTAAATGAATATATGGTTTATTGAATATTTTAATTATTTAGAGAACAAGAAGAGAGAGTTCGTTCTAAAACTATTGATTTAATGGGTTATAAAAAGAAAACTCAAATGGAGATGGAGGAAAATGAAGCGTTGATGCTACAGAAAACTCGGGCTGAATATGACTTATCAAGTGCCCAGAGACAAGGTATATATATATATATATATATATATATATATATATATATATATGTATGTATATATATACATTGAAACATACATTGAAATGTTATTGATAAATATGCTGTTTTAGTGCACAATGAAATGACGAAGATTGAGTCTATTGACAGAGAAATGAATCAGTTGAAAGCTGCTATTGATTTAACTGAGAAAGAGTTAACTAAAGCTACTTATGTAAATATTATTCATAGAATAAATATTGTAAAGTAATTATAATTTACACCATTTAATGATTTGTTTAAAGGAGGTTGAAAGAATTCGGCAAATAAATGGGCCCCTTCAAAGTGAGGTAGATAAACATGCCAGAATAAAAGTTGAAATTGAGGAAGAGATGATGACCCTTTTAAAAGACCAAATAACTAACGACAAAGCTGCACAGTATCTTGCTAAAATGTATCATGAGAAACAGCATAAGAGTCGGTCTATGGTAACTTTAATTATTTACTTACTTGCTCTTGATTGTATAATTAAAAAGCACTGAAGTAAACACTGATGATTTACAGGAAATTGTTTTGAATACTCAAGAAAATCAGTTGGCTCAAATAACATTGAATATTGAGAATTGGCGTAGTATGAACAGTGAACTGCAAGGAATGCTTAATGCGCTTACAAAAGAATATAATGAAGCTGAGAAATATGTGAATTCATTAACAGAAGAACATAGTAAAAATCAGCAACTTCAAAGTCGAAGACAAAGAACTATTGACACATTGAATAAGAAACTAGAATCCTTAGTTGAAGCAACTGGGGTTTGTTCTCACAAATTCATATATGTATTCAAAATATTTGAATTATAAGTTAAATAATTTTTAGCATACAGAAGGGGAAAGTGAGCTTGATATGAAAGCACAAGAACTTGAAAAAAGCATTCGCAATGCTGAAGAAAAAACACATAAATTGGAAATTATATGGCTTCGAATGCAAAGTCATGTTGTTACATTAGCTACAAAACATTCAGATCAGCAGGAACTGATGCATAATCTCAGAAGACGTAAACATAAATTAAAGTTTACAGTTTAAAATGTGCTTTTATTTAAATTTTATGTATATTATAGAGTTAATCATAAGTGAACACAGAAGTGTTAAGTTGAACAAGGAAGTCAACGCTTTGCAAAATGAAGATCAGAATCTGACTAAAAGAATTAATAACATAGTTGCAAGGTTACAAGTTGTTAACGCGCAACTTCTTAATAAAAGAGGCTGTAAAGCTGATTCTATGAAGCAATGTGAACTCACCCAAGTGGAGTTTTCTAAAAAGCTTCTTGTATGTTATATTTCTTTTTCTAACAATATGTCTAGAATGATTTAATAATATTAAACAATAATTAGGACTCAGAAACAAATTGCGCCCACTTGGAACAAGAAATTAATGATTTAGAAAATGATATAATTGAGTTAGAAAGCTTGCTTATGGCCAAACAGAAAGAAGTTTTATCCTGGGACGGATTGGTAATTTTGCATGGGCTATTTCATTTCTATTTTATTTATAGTTTATTGTATTACTATTAATTTTATCAGGTCCGTCATGCAGTAGAAAATATACAGAGTTATAAAGCTGAAATGAAAGAAGGAAGTGATCTTATTGGAATGAAGACTGAAATTCATCGTATGCAGGTATATATATATATATATATATATATATATATATATATATATATACTATATTTTTAATTACAAGCAATATTCAATTAAGCGTCTATTCTCAGGTTCGTCTAGCAAATTTGAAACAAATATCAGATAAACTGCTTCATGATTTAGATAACTGTGTAAATCAACGAGAATCTATAGTAGATAAAGCAGAAGTTAGAGATAAAAAAGGTGATTCTGATAAATCTAGAATGAAATTAAATGCAAAGATAGAGGAAACTAAAATTAAAATTAAGAAAGCAAAGAAGCAACTGCAATCCCTTGAAAATAAGAACAAGAATATTGAAGATGAACAAAATATGTTCTTGAGAGACCTGGAGGATATAAAATCTGCACAAAAGTTGCAAGATATAGAAGAGGCACATCTAGATGAGGAGATTATGTATTGCCAACTAATTAAAGCTCATGTATGTATTAAAGTTGTAGAACCATTAGTTTCAGATTTAATTGCCTTAATTAAATATAAATAATATTATTATGTTGACTATGTTTCCAGAATACAGAGAGAATTATTTTGAAACAACATCGAGCCAAAAAAATAGCACAGCTGCAGGATCATCACATTCAGCAATTAAGTATGAGGAATGATTCAATTGCAGCTTCCTTAGATCACCAAAATAAAATGAACAATAACCTGGTTGAAATATGCCATGTTTTAAAGGAAAGTTTTCCCCAATATAAACATCAATTGAATAGAATTTTGAATACGTTAAAAAAAAGGGAGACAGTTTGTGTATGATGTTCAGAAATGTTCTTATCATGTACTATTTTCAGTAATAATACAAATTATAGTGTATATATAATATTATCTACATTTTTTCTAACATGAATAACACATCAATATTTTTTTTACCATTTCCACAATAATAAAATCCATGCAGAGGTGTGTTAATATTGTGGTAGAAAGTCATTCCTGGCCAATATAATGGTCTCAGAATAGTCAAAGCACCACCTTTTTGATATTTATGACTCCAGGCAAAATTTTGTGGAATGTCGTTATCAATTGTTTCAAGAAAATCAAATGCATAGTTATAATCTTTTCGTTCCAACAAAATCTTGTTCCATTTTTTATGTGGAATTCTAAAACATTTAGTATTGATAAATAGAAATTTTAAGACATTATTCTTGACGAAGTCATATTGAATTAAATGAATATATAGATTCTCACTAGATTTAATTAAAAATAAAAATTATTTAAAAATATGTAGCTGGGAGATTATAATGTATAGATTTTGTAGATTTTGTATGTCTAAAATTACCTGAAGTGTTGATAAGATTTTAATTGGCCTCCGCAAGCACTAGTTAATCCCCTAAATGATGTACTTGGTATAACTTCGCCTGTTTGTTTTTTATGCATCGAACCTCTTGGAACAATTGCTGCCTCTTCATTTATTAAATGTATTGTGGCTGCAAGACGATCTTCTTCTTTTAATTCTTCACTATTATCTTCTTTGGTTTCCTCAGTCTCCAAATCGTTATAATAAATATCATTACCCTAAATATTAAAATTATTATAATTAATGATATTATGTATTGATTGCAAACAGATAATACCTTCAAAGGATTTATAATTAGTTCAGGATCGCCTTGGAAAAGTGTGGTGCAATATGGAGTGATTTCTTTAGCTTTCATGCTTGCTCGTGGTACCTCAAACCATTCTAAAAAGTTATGAGTGTAAAAATATATTTGTCCTGATACTATATCATCTTGGTATCCAAATGCTATGTGATAGTCTTTAACGGATCCATAAATTGTTCCCCATAAATACATTTCCCTGAATTGCATATCATTTTTTAAAATATACAAATTTGTTTCAATAACCGTTAATGGCTCAATATCTAAAGTATTTGCTGAATATCGTACTAATTCAAAAGCAGTTCGCAATCTCGCTATATTCATTTTGAAAATAGAGATTTTTCTTGTCCCTTTCATAAAAAATAAAAACAATAGCGAGTCGGTTTATCAAGTTTTAAATATATTTCAAATTTCCCGCTAAATATTATGCTCAATCATTTTTTATGCACGTGACATAAACGTCGAACATTCGCGATGTCGATCGAAATAAGACGAGCGATCTGAGCTGTTTTAGCAAGTTATTTTTCTCCATTTGATGCAACGTATACTTTTTGTTGCTAAAATATATTTCTTTGTCAACAGAATTGCTGTTTATTAACATTTAGTATTTAAATAATATTCGGTATAATAAAATCATGGATATGTAATATATTTAAGTAAGTGTGCTTGATATATTTCACTTTATGTATGTGCGTTATGACAAGATTCAGTGATTTTTCCTTGTTATTTTGTGATACATGTCAAAAGTTTTGCAATAATTATTTACTAAAGCGGAATAGTACGTATGTGAGCAACAAAGTAGGCCTTAAATTAAATAAAACAAGCAAACGCTTTTAATTTGTCATTATTTTCTTCATTGTCATTTGACAGTTTCGTAATTTCTTAATCTGGCACATTTAGCTAAATGAAAATTTAAAAATTTGCTTCGTCACTTACAATTTTCGCAATGGTGTGCGTAAAATTTCAAGATGTAAATTTGCTATGAAGCCCTTACAAGTTTGTATCATTTGTTCACATCGTATGTATCACGTCTAAATTTTATTTGTGAATTGATATTCGAAACCAATTAAAAACATATTATATAAAAATGTTTTCGATAGTGTTATCCACCAACGTGTTGTGGTTTAATGAAATTATTATTGAAACTGTAGGATTTGTTTTGGCGTTTGGAGGCTCTACCACCATTGCGGGAGTACAGCAGGTCTGATCTATCAAGACCCACTCAACCAGCAGCAGTAAGTAATTAAATAAATATAAAAAATAATACTGTTCTAAAGAATTCTTCTCAAATGAACAAATTAATTTGGACCATTGAGTTGCCATTTACTAATTATAAGTCATAACTCATGATAGGATCATGTTTGAGCTATTATTCGTTGTTTCAATAATTCAATCGTTCTTTTCTTCTAACAATTGAAATTTTTTTAGATTATTTGTTTATCTGTTTATATCTTTATTTCTTAGTGCTGATCGTCTATATACAGTTTATTTTGAGCAAGAAAAATGCTTATCACTACCTATGCTTTTAGTTTCCTTAAATATATTAAATTTAATTTTTCTTTTTTATGGTTTTATGAATATTTTAAACGATCCAATATGAAAGGTAAATTATAAACATTCATTTCTTTTTTATTTAAAATATTTAAAGTTGAATAATTAAAAATTACTTGCAATTAATAGGTAGTTTTGAAGTATATATAATTCAATTCGGTGATACATATTTTTAAAAATTAGTCATATATTAGTATTAATATTTTAAACATTCTTTAGTCATTACAGTATTGAATGTTTTGAATGCTTTTAATAAAAGAAACAAAATTTCTTAATAAGCTTGAATCGAAATTAATGATTCATGCAAATGTATATATATATATATATATATATATATATATATATATGATTTTATTTACAAGTATTTCAACATATAAATAATATTAGTGTTACTATGCACATTATATATATATATATATATATATATATATATATATATATCTTGATAGTTAATATATATATATATTATATATATATTATATATATATATATATATATATATATATGTTAAAATTTTTATAATAATTTAGATGCTTACTATATTCTTCAGGGCAATACATCAAATAAAAAAGGGAAAGATATAAACTATTACTACAGTTTGGCTCGGAAAGTATTTTAAGAATGTTTCATTATACTCATTTAATAATTGATAAGTTAAATTAACAAAATTTACCTGATCGTGAATATGTTAAAAATGAATTAGGTTTATTCCAGTTTATACTAAGATTGGAGATGATATATGATTATATGTTGAAACATTTGGGAAGCATGAATATACTATAAAATATCATTCTTTATTTGATGTTCTCTCCTGAAGAATTTGATACATCTATAAAAAATCTAAAATCATCTTCTATTTGCTCAAAATTATCAATATTTATTCTTTCCATAAGATGATGTTCGATCATATTCTAATGTTATGTTTCTTATTCAAGAAACTCATTGTGATGAAAAGGTGATACAATCACATCACACCAAAAATGAAACAATCAGACATTGTGCGTTTTATTTGTCAATAAAAAACAAAACGCAGAAACTTTTCTATTTGATCTCTTAATGTGCGGCGGAAAGATAATAATGATTTGAATAAAGAACAACTCGTACACATGTTTGGTTTTTTGCCAAAATAATTTAGCATGTCAGCGGTCATGTTGTTCTTAAAATCAGCTGTTGCTATATTAAACTAGTACCAAATGCGCCATTTCATTTTAGATGATTGTTTGGAATCTATACTTTGCACCTGGCTTTCTATATTTGATGGAGTCTATTACACGTTAATTAAATTTGATTTATTGGCATTTCTAATCCAATGATAATAAGATACCACTGCATAATCCAAATATATTCTTCTGTAATGGTATTTATGGGCATTTTTATGGAAGTCTGTATTGTCTTTTTACTTATATTTTTTACGATTACTATTTAAAATTCTCTGTAAGGAAATTTGCTAACGTTATTTATTAGTCAAGATCGATTTGTCGGCATTCTATTCCAATGCCAGCAAAAATGCTAAACAAAAATCTTTCTTTATTGTGTGGTATTTTTATGGAAGAGCTTCATAAAAAAAATGCTATTCATTTTTTATTTTCATTATATTCATTGCACAATTCTGTCTCCTACTTAAAAATATGCATTTATTACTGTTTAGACATGTTATATTGCTGACATCTTTTATATTATTGTTCTATTTATCCTGGTTAATTACTATCATTATTTGTCGTTTGTGATTCATTAATATCAACACAAATACGTCATGCAAATTTCGTAGCATTTCAATATTTATCATTATTTCAATTTTAGTTGTTTACACATTTTTCGCTATATATTCTCAAATATTTAAGTTTCTGATGTATGTAGTGAACGGATTTGTTCCTCTTAATCTTAATTGTTCAAATACCTTTTTACCATTGTTGATTAAAATTGATCTTTATTTTTCTAATTTGGATTGTTTATTACTGAATATTCACTATTGCCGTTTCGTTCTTGATTCTGATGCTGATTAATACTAATATTATTATTTCAATATTTCTGATTGAAGACGTTTATGTATTTTTCGTTAATTGTTTTCTGGGTTTCTGATTTCTGTAGCGAATAATTCATTGTTCTTAATGACAATAAAATTTGTGGAAACCGCGCATCAGGGAAATGAAAGTTTCTATCTTGGAACGTTAATAGATTTCTTTTAAAGGCAAGCACTGACGCACTTGGCAAGAATATGAAAATTTAGATCAAAATAATACAAAAACATAAATTATTAAATGCGTTATTACTTTAAATTACTCAGTCATTTGCAATAGATAAATTTGTTATAAAATACATCAGTTTGAAGAAAATAGTTTGTTGTTTTTAACGCAAAGTCTATTTAAATGTTTTAATATGATGTTGGTGAATAATTTAAAAAAAATTGTGTTTGTATCCAAGACTTCAATTCAACCATTCTTCTTAATTTTATCGGTTAAGTTTACTTTTTTGTCTTTCAATATAAGTTCATTATACTCCGCTTAAGTACTTATTATCAATATTATTATTTTAAATAATTAGTTACCTTCTCATTGCACTGGTTCTTAATTTACGCTTTCATTGAATTGAATAAATACACGCTACGGTCTATAGTAAAACTTTCTCTTGGCGTCGCATGTGTAGAATTTACTACTTAGCCATAAAATGATACTATATCACACGTATCCGACACACATACATTTTAAATTCTATTATAACAAAGATTTATTATATACTTTATTACTATCACTATTATTTCCGATTCAATAGCGGCATAACTTTAAAAGGCCTTGATATAATTGATATTGGACCCTAAAATTTTTGTTTATTTTTAGATGGGTGATGTGGATCCTGAAACATTGCTGGAATGGCTCTCCATGGGCCAGGGCGATGAAAGAGAAATGCAGTTAATTGCCCTGGAACAATTATGTATGCTCCTGTTGATGTCAGATAATGTAGATCGATGTTTCGAGAGGTAATTAATAATTAGAATCGATTCCTAAATAAAATTTAGAATAAACTATTTAATGGTGCTTTCTCATTTAGTTGTCCTCCTCGAACGTTTCTCCCCGCACTATGCAAGATATTTCTGGACGAAATGGCTCCCGAGAGCGTGCTTGAAGTGACTGCACGCGCTCTCACCTATTACCTGGACGTGAGTGCTGAATGCACCAGGCGTATTGTCGCGGTCGAAGGCGCTGTCAAAGCCGTCTGCGGACGATTGGCGGTCGCCGAACTTGCTAGCCGTGCCAGCAAAGATCTAGCTGAGCAATGCATAAAGGTATGGATAACTAGAACTTTTTCAATAATCATTCTCACAGAATTACAAGTAAAGATAAATTTTATCGATTGTACGATCGTATTTCTAGGTTCTGGAGCTAATCTGCACCCGCGAAGCTGGTGCTGTGTTCGAGGGCGGTGGTTTGACATGTGTATTGACGTTTATTAGAGAAAGTGGTTCACAGGTAAGTAAATAACTCAAACAGCGTTGTATATATATTTTGAACACTTTATAGTAATTTATAAAACTATGATGCAATGATAATATAATGCCTGTAGGTACATAAAGATACCCTGCATTCAGCTATGGCTGTTGTATCTCGTTTGTGCAGTAAGATGGAACCCCAAGATGCATCTTTGCCAGATGTTGTTGAAAGCTTAAGCACATTACTCAGACATGAGGATTTGCATGTTGCTGATGGAGCTCTCAGGTACAAATTTATTTGATATGGGGATTAATAAATGGCAATCTGATGCTAATTCATATATAATAATCAATTTGTATAAATAAATTAGATGCTTTGCTTCTGTGGCCGATCGGTTTACACGTAGAGGCGTTGATCCTGCCCCGCTTGCTGAACATGGTGAGTAACTATACACAATTTGTGTTACTTATAGTAATGATTTATATTTGTGCTGATTGATTATTTCTTTTGCTAGGTTTGGTTAGTGAATTATTAGCTAGACTGGGAAATGCTGCTGGCCCTGCTATAACAGGCGCAATTTCTGTAGGACCGGTTTCAGCCTCTGGTAGTTCTCAGGCCCTTATGGTGCCTCCAGCACAGGAGCATCATCATGATCAAACAAGATCAGGAAGTGTTGGAACAGTTATATCCTTACTTTCCACTTTATGCAGAGGCTCTCCTACTATCACACATGTGAGAACTATTATTTCTATTACCTTTCTGCCGCACCGATATTCATTACTAACATCCAGATTTATTTATGCAAAATTTTGCTTTACCATTTTTAGGATTTATTACGTTCTGCGCTACCAGAGGCTTTGGAGCATGCACTTCAAGGTGATGAGCGTTGCACCTTGGATTGCATGCGTTTAGCAGATTTACTGATGCTTTTGTTGTTCGAGGGTCGACGCGCTCTTGGTCGCCCTTCGGCTGCTTTGGTCGCCAGCACATCCAGTACTGGTACTCACCTCATCCCTAGATTAAGGCGTATGGACTCTGTTGGTGAAAAGACCCACCGGCAACTCATTGATTGTATAAGGTACTTAATAATGACTTTGATATAAATTGTGATTTTTTAAAGTTAAAATGCTTTTATTGATTTTTGGCATTATTATTATTTCTTAGATCTAAAGATACAGATGCTCTTATTGAAGCTATTGATAGTGGCGGAGTTGAGGTAAACTTCATGGATGATGTGGGCCAAACATTATTGAATTGGGCTTCAGCTTTTGGCACACAAGGAATGGTAGATTTTCTATGTGAAAGAGGTAAATTATTGCGACAATGAGATATAAAAAGAATGTTACATATCATATATGTTGTAGGTGCTGATGTAAATAAAGGTCAGCGTAGCTCATCATTGCATTATGCTGCTTGTTTTGGTCGCCCAGGGATAGCAAAGGTACTTCTGCGTTATGGTGCTAATCCTGATTTAAGAGATGAAGATGGCAAGACACCACTTGATAAAGCAAGGGAGAGAGTTGATGAAGGTATTTAAATTATTTTTTTGTAATTAAATTATTAGTTATTTTATTATAAGAACTAATTTACATTATTTTATTTATATAGGCCATCGTGATGTGGCCGCCATATTACAATCACCTGGTGAATATATGGTACCTATAGAAAGACCAGCTATTGGAATGAATAAAACAGTCTCTGGTGGAACTTTGTCTGAATGCAAAGGAACAGGAGAAGTTGGTGATTCTGCCATTTTGGGAAATTCAGAGGCAATAGATCAAATAGAATCCAATCCACAATCCAATTATGAACTTAAAGGAGACCCTGAAATGGCACCTCTTTATGTCAAAAGATTATTGCCAGTCTTTTGCAATACTTTTCAGTCAACAATGCTGGCTAGTGTGCGTAAGGCTAGTTTAGGTAATTATATTATGCTAAAATAAATACATTATTCATATTAATATTTTATTTCAATCTAGGTAATAGTTAGATATTTACCAGAAAATTTGTGAAATGTAACTTATAATTTTTTTTTTTGTTAGTAAATTATATAATTATTTTTTGTTTTATCATTTTGTGTAGGTCTTATTCGGAAAATGGTGCATTATGCGCAGCCTGAATTGCTGAGTGAACTATGTACTGTTGATATGAATGTTGGAACTATATTGGTCGAAGTCATTGCAACGGTTTTGGACAATGAGGTTAGTTATTATAACAGTTATGAGCAATGTAATGCTGAAAATATTGTTTTTGCAACTAATTTTATTTTAAAACATTATTGTTTCAAAAAGTAATTTTCTAAACATTGTTTTTTTTTTACTGAATGTATGGGCAAAGATGTGAACATATATATATATATATATGAAAGTTTTAAGGCCATTTCCTGGCCTTGCAGATTTCATACAGTTGGCCGACAAATGTTAGTAGGCCAGTGTCATCAGAAAGCCTGACTCACGTGAAAAGGAATCTGGGCGGTCTTAGTTTGTTGGTGCAATCACTTCGAAATTCAAACCGCAATACATCTGATGTCATAGTTGCAGCTCCATTAAGAGTTAATACCGTTGCAAAACAACAGAATAGGGTACTACCACAATCTTTTATTATTTTTTTTTTGTATACTATTGCTCAATTATTATTAAATACAGTGTTATTAGCAAATAAGTTGTTAATCAAATGATTACTTATTTTGCTTTTATGTATATAATGGTTTTATTTAACTCATGAAATTGCCTTGGAATTCTAATATGCGAAATTTTCTATGACATTATTAAAGTATCATTATTTATTTTGTTTTTGTGATAAATTAAATCATATTCCAGATGCATGATTTATATTTAAACTGGACTTTAATTAATGGATTATTATTCAATTATTGGCAATATTGATCTCATATTTCTGTTAACTATTTGATCAACCATTCTTTCATGAATTTCAAAATATATTGTATAATGTAAAATTTCTATAATGAAAGTAATATTTAAAATACTAACATATTACAGTTAAGCATGCGATAGTCAGAAGTTCAAGATAAGAATTAACTTTTTTATTGCGAAAAGAATAAGATTATTTCTATTATTATTATTATTATTATTTACATTGAGTTAATTTAAAGCATGCTTTGTCACTGATGTCGTCATCATCATTAAAAAGTTTTGTTAAATGTTAACAAGTACCTTTGCGTCTTGTAATGTTTTATATTAACAAATGTATGATAGATAATGAACCCATGCTGGTTTTTGTGGTAGTTCCTATTCTGTTACAGTATGAGCCTTGGTCCTTGTTCCGATAATAATTTATACAGTATGAAACTACTAATGATTTGCAAATTTATATATGTATATATATATATATATATATATATATATTTATAATTATATCGTGATGGATACATAAATATATTTATTTCTATTGCTTAAATATATGATTAAACATATATTTTTAATTTTACCACAAGGATGACGATGAAGGACATCTAGTTGTATTAGGAATCATAGAAGAACTTATGTGCAAGGTGCCAGAAGTATTCTTAGATCACTTTGCTCGCTTAGGTGTTTTTGCAAAAGTACAAATGCTAGCAGGCCCTCAAGATCAATCGATAGAAACAGAAATAAAAAATGATGTGGAAATCACACAGGCTCAAGCAGGTGTGTAATCTATTTTTTCTTAAAAACTTAATCTAATATATTTAATTACTTTATCTTAAACTATTTCAAATTACATGATTACAGAGACAGATGGAAGTGAGGACGCTAAAGAAATTTTGCCAGGAAGAGCATATCATTGGCGTGACTGGTGTGTGTGCAGAGGAAGAGATTGTCTCTATGTATGGTCTGATGCAGCAGCTTTGGAACTTTCGAATGGTTCAAATGGGTATGATTATTTTCTAATGAAATATTTTGATATTTATTGTTAATAAATGTCTAATTTTTGCAGATGGTTTCGATTCATACTGGATGGTAAATTAGCTACAATGTACTCTAGTGGCAGTCCCGAAGGAGGCACTGATAGTTCAGGTTATATTTTAAATCTTGTGTATAATTATATTTTTATAAAGTTTACTTTTGCTAAAAGTCGTTAAATTTTCAGAAAATCGTGGCGAATTTCTGGAAAAACTTCAACGAGCTCGATCAGCTGTAAAGCCCAATGTAAGTTCGCAACCAATTCTGTCCAAACCAGGTCCTGTAAGACTGGTTGTTGGAAACTGGGCATTAGCTAGTAAGAAGGAACAAGAATTACACATTCATAATTCTGATGGACATCAACAAAGTACAATACTGAAAGACGATTTACCAGGGTTTATTTTTGAAAGTAACCGAGGCACCAAGCACTCATTTATCGCCGAAACCAGCCTTGGTTCGTATATACTTACCGTTGCGTAGTATGTTTTTATTTTATAACCGTTTATTTCTTATTAGGTCCTGAATTCACATTAAGCTGGATAAATAAACGCAATAAACGTCTGCGTTCCAAAGCAGAGGCTGTGAAAGTCCAAATTAAAACTCTAGCCAGTGATCTTTATAATAGATATTTCAAGGCAGCTCAAGCTGTACCTCGGGGTGCAGTTGCCAAATTAGTTGCAATAGTTTCACAAATTGAAAAAGCGTGTCTCAAGCAGTATCAAAGTGCAATATCGGAGTGCAAGGATACAGGTATAATAATTATTCTAAAAAAGTCATAAATAATTATATTTTAAAATCTTAAATATTTACATATGTTTTTTTTGTAATAGGGGAAAATGACTGGCGTCATATTTTGGAGACTGCTTTAGGTGATCTATTGAGCATTCTTTATGAAGATGGTATTGTCAGTGCTTATGAATTGCAGAGTTCAGGATTAGTTCAATCACTGTTAACGCTTCTTTCAGTTAATTATTGGTGTCAAGGTTTGCTTTTGTAATTACAATAATTTAAAATAATGTTCAGAATAAATATATTTTAGTTATTTTTCTAGGTTTGCCAACAAACAAAGCCGCAAAACTTCAGCGACAACGTGTTGCTTTATTCAAACAATGTTTTCAAGAAGGAGTTAACAATATAATGAACAAAGGTGAACAATTTGATATCAGTCCTAAGCCAGCCAGCATCCTCGTTCAAAAATTAGTGTCTGTTCTTGAGAGCATTGAAAAATTGCCCATATACACCTATGATACACCTGGGACAGGTTATGGTTTGCAAATTTTGACAAGGCGTTTAAGATTTCGATTAGAAAAATCTGCATCAGAAACTACTTTGCTGGATCGAACAGGAAGAAATTTAAAGATGGAGCCCTTAAGTACAGTTGCTCAACTGGAAAAGTACTTATTGAAAATGGTAGCAAAGCAGTGGTATGATATGGAGCGTAGTACATTTACTTATTTGAAGAAGTTGAAAGATTCTAAAATGACATTTAGACATCAACAGGATTTTGATGAGAATGGTCTAATTTATTATATAGGCTCTAATGGTAAAACTACTGATTGGGTGAACCCAGGACAATACGGACTTGTTGTTGTATTCAGTTCTGATGGAAAGAGTTTACCTTACGGAAAGTTAGAAGATATATTATCACGAGATAATGTCTCTATTAATTGCCACACAAATGATGACAAAAGAGCCTGGTTCAGTATAGATTTGGGTGTGTTTATAATTCCTACCGCTTATACTTTACGCCACGCTCGCGGATATGGAAGATCAGCACTTCGAAATTGGTTGTTCCAAATGTCTAGAGACGGTGTGACTTGGACTACATTGTATGTCCACTCTGATGATAAAAGTCTATTTGAACCTGGCAGTACTGCCACATGGCCAATAGAAGTCACGCTTGATGAAACTCAAGGATACAGACACGTACGTATTCAGCAAAATGGTAAAAATGCATCTGGGCAGACTCATTACTTAAGCCTCTCTGGTTTTGAGATTTATGGGCAAGTTGTATCAGTCTGTGAAGATTTAGGAAAAGCTGCAAAAGAGATTGAAGCACGTATTAAGAAAGAAAGAAGATTGTTGCGTAGTCAGATAAAACATATTCAACCAGGAGCTCGAGTTGTGCGTGGCATTGATTGGAAATGGCGTGATCAAGATGGCTCACCACCTGGTGAGGGAACTATCACTGGTGATATTCACAATGGATGGATTGATGTAAAATGGGACCATGGAATACGAAATTCTTATCGTATGGGTGCCGAAGGCAAATATGACTTGCGTCTACTTAATTACGACCATGACGTAGTTGTCTGCAAACCTTTAGCTTTACCTCTTCATAATAAAAAAAGTGATGGCGATAATAATAAGACTAGTGTTTTAACCAGCCGAAAATCCAGCTCTACGCCCAGCTTACCCGAAGCAACTGATGGACAGATCAAGAATTCTGTTGCATCTACAGAACAGGCAGCTTCTGCCGATAATTTGGCAGCAAAACAAGCCGCCGAAGCGATTGCAGAGAGTGTACTTTCATGCGCTCGAGCTGAGATAGCTGTAAGTTCTGATGGATCAGCTAATAATCAGACTGAAGTATCTGTTGTGGTGCATTCCTTAAGAGAAAGAGAGCCGCACAATGATCTATCAGCTATAAATAATTCCACACAAGCTTTAAACAGCAGTATATCTACTGATCTTGAAACTATTGTGGAAAGTCTGATTTTAAATGAGGCAATGCCCACTAAAAACACAGCTAGTTCTAGTAACAATAATCAATTGCGCAGGCAACAGAGTTCCTCAGATGATAACAAAGCTTCCAAGTCTTCAAATAACCAAAAGAGTAGTATTGTATCTAGCAACTCCACCAATAATTTAAACAAATCTTCATATAGGCATAAGTTGAGCAATAGTGTTGTGCAACAAAATATTTCATCCTTGGACCATGGATTGTTGAGTGCGGAGGCTGTAGAAGTATTAGATAAAATGCGAGAAGGAACTGATTTATTTAGAAACAACACGAACAATATTTTATCTAGCGATCTGTTACAGCTTCCTCCAGGTATTTTAATGGGTAATACAGCCAATTCTCTAGGCCTTATGGCCGCAACTTTAGCGCCGTCTCTTAGAATATCGGTTGCTTCTCATAACGATCAGAACACTGAAAATTCATCCGAAAATTCGCGTATGTCAGCTTTCAGATACAAGAAAAGTTCAGGATCGATTGATAAATATTCAAATAAACAAGTCGATGAAGGATGTACTGGAAGTGGTAAAGATGATGCTGAGTTGAACGCGAGGAATAGTACTAACAATTCCAATCCAATGAGTGTTAGTGTACCAAACTTAGCAAGTGAAAGCAATAATCAAATTGAAACTACCTCAACTGCTGGACTGTTAGAAACGTTTGCAGCAATGGCTAGACGCAGAACGTTAGGTAATATTTACATTGGTTAGTTTCTTATTTTGTATCTTTATGAATTATTTGATCATAGTTGCACGATTGCCTCATTTTTCCAGAGATATATGTTTCAGTTTGTACATTTAGCGAAATTCTTCATATGCATAACTAAACACGAAAATTTTATGGATGCGCCATTTATGTGCTATGTAAACCAAAGTTTTATCATTTTTGAATCATTTGACAATTTTCTGATAGCGTAGCAGGCCATGGAAAGTTGTAACATTTGGAAAATATTTGGGTAAATGTAAATTTAGATTTGGGCATAATTTTTTTTAGGAAGCGTAATATCTCAGGTGGGCGGCGGCAGTGCTACCGCAACGACCACTGCACAATCACAGCCTACCACAGGTGACTGTAGCGGTTCACATGCATTATGATACTTTTTTTTGTTCACCTGGTTTGTTATTGTAGATTCGAAATGCAAACATTTATCTTTATTTTTGTTTCATGGCATTTTGTTTTACATCATATAATTTCATAGATACTAATAATGAAGTGCCATGTGCACGTTAATATTTCTATCAATTTGTGAATGGTACCACGTTATTTTTTATATAACGAAATACGTTCTTGTCAATGAATGTTTCACCCCCTATTCATTCATAATTTTTATTTAATAATTTAATGCCACAAATAAAACGATATTACTACGGATGACGATGTTTTAATATACTTAAGTAACTAATAATTGAATTTGTTGTTTAGTAGAACGTTAAACATGAATCTTCCCATTCATTTTGATTTGGATAGCTCTTAATTATATCTGCACAGTAGATTTTTGGACTGCAACTCGCTCTTTAGATGTTATATTGGTGTGTGTATATATCGCTTTTGTTTGAAAGCTTAATTTTTCATAAGGAGGCGTATCAAACGTGATCGCCAATTGCCAGACATCAAATAATCAGCATTCTGGCGGCGGCGTGACCGGATCCTTCTTTCCTCGAGGACCCAATTCCGTTTCTAGTCTGGTGCGTTTGGCTTTATCAAGTAATTTCCACGGAGGTTTTCTTAGCACTGCTCAGAGCTATCCAAGTCTGACCAGCAATATTAACAATGCCGGTGTGTATTAACTACTAATTATGTATGTAATTACAATAACTATGCAATAATTCTGAGGTGTTGGGTTTTTAGCAGTGTTTCAGCGATTGATATGTGATTATTTTAAAGTTGACTACGACTCAACGTACTAAGAAATTAAAATTACTTAACATAAATATTGCTAAATACTTGAAAAATCCTTCTTCTTCTACTTAGCATTGTTAATTTCATTTCATTCAATAAGCTTTTTTCATTCATTTAAACAATACAATGTCTCAACTTTACACCTTATGAAATAATATTTTTAAATCTTATAAATATGTATGACATATGTTGATAAAATAATTTGTATGCAATATTTTTTTAACATTTTGTGTTACTACTTACAGCAGCCCTTGATTATTTTAAAATATCTCTTACAAAAAACTTTCCTAGATCTGTAATAATTTTATGTAATATTATTTTTTACATATTTAACTTTATTTCTTTTTGAATTAAACTCTACAATTAAAATAGAAACAAAATTGTACTTATTGTATTTTCAACACAGGAGCAAATAACTCGCAGAGTATCTCTAATAATGAAAATCAAGTTCCATGTCTTAGTCAAGCACTAACTATGAGTTTGACTTCAACTAGCAGTGACAGCGAGCAGGTAACAAATATACCTAGATATTATTTTATATAGCTGTGGTTTATTTAATGAACAATATTTCAAATTGTCTTGTACATTTTTTTAGGTATCCTTAGAAGACTTCTTAGAATCTTGTAGAGCACCTACATTGCTTGGTGAGCTGGAAGATGACGAAGAAATTGAGGATGAGGATAATGACGACGATGAGAACGAGGATGATGAAGATTATGATGAAGTCAGTGTATGTACTTTTCGTATTTATCACATTTGCCAAATATTGTAATTAACACTTTGAGAAATTAGCAGGTCATGGTCTCACGTAATCTGCTTTCATTTATGGAAGATGAAGGTTTTGAAACTAGAGCTACCCCAGCGGTGGCTCCCCCGGGATCTAAACGTAGGTCTTGGGATGATGAATTTGTATTAAAGAGACAATTTTCTGCCTTGATACCGGCATTTGATCCTAGGCCCGGTCGCACAAATATCAATCAAACTACAGGTATCATTTTAAATGGATTGCAAACATGATTAGTCAATGGTCAGAGTACATATATAAATAAATTTACAGATATTGAAGTACCAGCACCAGACGCCGGTGCCGAATCTCCTATTCCAGGGCTTGATGGTGATGGGCCTGCAAAACCCCAATTACAACTTATTCTCAAAGGACCCAATTTACCAGGGGTGCCTGATATTGAAGTAAGAAAAGGAGTTTGCTTATATTATCTAGTTAAAATTATATATGAACGCACATTGAAAACATTATACTATTTTACAGATTCCATTGGAATCGTGCGAATGGAGTATATTCCGGGCTGTACAAGAGCTGATTCAACTTTCTGAAATTGGATCCAAGCAAGATAAACAACGAAGAGTTTGGGAACCTACGTACACGTAAGTTTTTGCTCATACTTTATTTATTTAATTGTGAACTTTTAGTTTAATGAATATTTTTATGATACAGCATAATTTATCGAGAAGCCCGTGACGAAGATGCGGATGAAGGAGGCCGTATGACACCTCTTGTAACTTTATACTCACGAAGCGGTGCTAGTTCCATAGCCGGTACTACTTTATCACCTTCCTCTCCATCACAGCAAAATGCACAACAAAACACATCATGTACAGTTGAAGATGTTTTACAACTGCTGCGACATCTATTTGTTGTCACCAGTTCGGACGGCATAGCTCTTTCACCTGATCTATTTACGAGCAAGAAAATTACAAATAAATTACTACAGCAAATACAAGAGCCCCTGGTTTTGGCAAGTGGTGCCCTTCCCCAATGGTGTGAAGAACTAAATCAATGCTGTTCTTTTCTATTTCCTTTTGAGACTAGGCAGTTGTATTTTAATTGCACTGCTTTTGGGGCTTCAAGGAGTATAGTTTGGCTACAAACTCAACGTGATGTGTCACTAGAAAGGCAAAGAACACCAGGGTTAAGTCCGCGAAGAGATGATCCACATGAATTCAGGGTTTGTTTAATTTTATCTCAACCATTTTAATGAGATTTTTTTAATTCTATCATGATCTATTATATACTTTTTTAAAATTGCAGGTTGGACGCCTTAAACATGAGCGTGTTAAAGTACCTCGTGGTTCAGGACTGCTAGATTGGGCTGTGCAAGTAATGAAACTTCATTGCACTCGTAAATCTATTCTGGAAGTGGAGTTCTCTGGAGAAGAAGGCACAGGTCTTGGTCCAACATTGGAATTCTATGCATTAGTTGCAGCAGAACTACAAAGGCGTGATCTTGGTTTGTGGATATGTGATGACGATGAAACTAAGTCACAGGGATCAATTGATCTGGGAGAAGGTGTGAAACCAATAGGTTATTATGTAAGACGTGAAGCCGGCTTATTCCCAGCGCCTCTACCTCAGAATTCTGAAGCCTGTACAAAAGCTGTGAAATACTTTTGGTTCCTGGGAGTTTTTCTTGCCAAAGTATTACAAGATAATCGTCTAGTTGATTTTCCATTATCTCAAAGCTTTCTCAGGTTAATGTGTCATGGTGAGATACAAGATACTGTTAATAATAGGATAAGAAATAGGAGAAAAGTTGATGATATAATGACATCAAGCTTAACGAATTCTGAAGCAAGCAGTAAAAATGCCGATCAGGGCTCAGAAACTTCTGGATTTTATGGTGTTTTGGAAGATAAAATGCCATGGTACTATGGTGTTTTATCATTGGATGATTTGAAAGAGCTTGATCCTGTCAGAGCAGAATTTTTATTACAATTAAAAAATCTAATTAAAAGAAAGAAATCAATTGAAAGCGATTCTACTTTGACCGCAGATCAAAAATCTAAAAAAATATGTGATTTAAAATTAAATACAAACTCTGGAGAAGTAGATATATCTGATTTGACACTTACGTTCACTTATATGCCTAGCTCTAGAGTATTTGGTTTTGATCATGTAGAACTCATACCAAATGGTGCAGATATAGAAGTAACTATTGAAAATTTAGAGCAGTATAGTGACCTAACAATTAGTTTTTGCTTAGATGAAGGTATAAGGAAACAATTGGATGCTTTCCATAAAGGGTTTTCACAGGTCAGTTTTATGAGATTTTTATTTGAGAGTGTCAACATGAAATTGTTATCAATTAATAAGTTTTTATATTTTGTAGGTGTTCCCAATGGAAAAATTATCAGCATTTAGTTCACAAGAAATTCGTGTCATGCTTTGTGGTGATCAGCATCCTCAATGGACTAGAGAAGATCTATTAAACTATACTGAACCTAAGCTTGGTTACACAAAAGAAAGGTACGAAAAGATAGGACTTAGATATGACGTATAGATATAGAAGATATCATTTAATAAATGATTGTTTTTTTTTAGTCCTGGTTTCTTGCGTTTTGTAAATGTTCTTTTGGATATGTCTGGAGAAGAACGCAAAGCATTCCTGCAGTTTACAACTGGATGTAGTTCCTTGCCACCTGGAGGTTTAGCTAATCTTCACCCCCGATTGACAATTGTTAGAAAAGTGGATGCCGGTGAAGGCTCCTATCCTTCAGTTAACACTTGTGTTCATTATCTTAAGCTTCCGGATTATCCGACGGAGCAATTATTAAAGGAGAGGTTATTGGCAGCCACACAAGAAAAGGGCTTCCATTTAAATTAATTGAATGGAAGTGACTGTATTTCTTACTTTAATGTATTATTTTTTGTCATTTAAGTAATATTTTTTATCATAAACAATACAAGACTAGGTTGTGTTATTTTTGTGAAATTTACGTTTTTCATACAGATGTTTAGTGCAGTGTCATTAGTCTGTAATGAATTAATTTTGATTCATATTATATTTAGTTATATTATTAATTTTGTGATTCATGTAAGGAATGGCAAATCCTTGCTTGTTTTGTAGATGTGATATAAGTATAATACCTATAACAATGGTTTATAAGACCAATAAATTTTGAATTATTCATCAAATGGGATATCACTTTATACATCTTAATTAAGTTCTAAAGTGTTATGAAATGACTTAATAGGTGTTTAAAAAATTATTCTGCAAATTTTGATGGATATAATTTTATTGTATAATATTGATATAGAGAATATCATAGAAATGTTTAGAGAAGTTTGAATTTAGAAAAGATATATGATAACTAAAAACATCTCTGTTTAAATGATACAATGTTTATATATAATACTTGATGCTATTAGTCAATGGTATATCGAACGATTATAAATTTTGAAATGTGGTTGTGTGTGTGATTGTTGCAATAACTTGTATAATTACTTATTTATAACTATAATAGAAAAAGTATAGCGTAAAGTATAAATTATCATTTGTTAAAAGAATTATTGAAATGTGTGTTATGAATTTTGAAATTATAAAAAAAATACAAATGGGGTATAAAAATACAAAAATAAAGAAATTCTTGTTTTCTTGTAACACATCGAGAGTGTAACAGTTCATAAAATAAATATTCCTGAACAAAATAAAATATCTGATTCTGTTGAGATTCAAACGAGACAAAGCCCGCCATCGCCATTTTAATTTCGCTCAAATGCGTTATATGCCGCACTTCAATGCAATTTGCGAAGTTCAAGGGCCATGAAGCTCCGTTCTGTCAGTGACGAAAATTAATTGTTTGCTCATTCTTTTTACTGAAACGTGTTACGTTGAAAATACATTTATATCTAATCAAATTCAATTTCCATCGCGTGACGTCATTGTGTGTTTATGCCTGTGTATAAGTTTGTAAAATAATCGATGACGTCATTGCTGTTTCAAGGCCTGTAATATTTTTAGGTCGTTTAATATCCAAAACAAAGCCAATATTGTGATCATGAGTGAGTTGTTGTGCACCTGACTTTTCTTCTAACTTTTAAAACATGTCAGTTCAGCAGTTCTGTTTAAGATGGAATAATCATCAACCGAATTTTATATCTGTATTTTCAACCCTTCTTCATAATGAGTCTCTAGTTGATGTCACGTTAGCAGCTGAAGGAAGGCATTTGCAGGCTCATAAAGTTGTTCTATCAGCATGCAGTTCTTATTTTCAGGTATTACTAAATAAACAACTTATATTCTTCATACTGTTATTAACTTTTTCACAAATTTATGAATATGGAATGAAGTTATTAAGTTATACAGATTTGAAGTATACATATATACATTCATTCAGAATCGCTTTAAAAATGAAGATTTAATTATTTTTCTTAAAGTTCTATCTCGAAGCTGTAGCTTATTATTTATAATTAAGTTAGTCAACCATAAATTATTATGTTTGCAGACATTATTCACTGTCAATCCTTGCCAGCATCCCATAGTTATTCTAAAGGATGTGAAATATATGGATTTAAAGATAATGGTTGATTTTATGTATTATGGAGAAGTGAATGTATCACAAGAGCAACTACCACATATATTGAAAACTGCAGAAATGCTGAAAATTAAAGGTTTGGCAGAAATGCCCGACTCCACATCTCTAACAAAATCTCATAGTGCTTCTTCAGAAAGAGCTGACATACTAACACCCGGAGATTCAACATGGGGCTCTGACACACACAGACATTCACCATCACCTGCTCCCCTATCACCAAACTCGAAAAGAAAAAGGTTATACTTATTTTAACATATTTTGATACTTGATTGAAAATAAATAATGTTATTGCACATACTATAATTTTATTAAATTACTAAGTATTATTTTTTCATTATAAATAATTTTCAGGCTGAGAAAATCTTCAACTGGATCAACATCCTTATCAACAGAACGATGCAATTCAGAGGAACAAGTTTTAATACAGAGTACAACTAGTGACGCTAACTCTGGACTTATTCGATCAAATAAACATACAGCAAGTACAGATTCAGACAATCAACAACCTTTTGAAGGGAGCCATGAAATACATGAGAATAATAGGCTAATTGCTGTTAGTATTAATTACATAAGTAATTTAAATTTTATTTTTAATTTTAAATGACCTGTTATCATAAATAGTATAAATGGAAATTGCAGTATATTACACATTAGATGAATAATTTGTATTTTATTTTATTTAGCAAAAATCTACGGAATCTGAATCCAGTGTTAGTGTAGTACAAACCCTTGGTGTGCCTATGGTGGACATGGCTGGACCTCCAATTTCTGGAAATTGTCCTCAACAGGCTCCACAGCCTGGTAAGTTCATATCTCTATTAGAATCTTTGTATCAACTAATTTTATTACATGCATGACTGAATGAAGAATGAACTTAAATCTATAAGTTTTAATATATTCATTTGATTTTATATATTTATATATATATATATATATATATATATATATATATATATATTCAATTAGTTTTGAAATAAGTAGCAAATTAAAATCTGGCATTTGCTTTATATTATTTTTTCATATTCTAATTCGAAGTTAATTCATTGCTAATTCACTGATTTTGCAAATGATGTTCTGTATGAAATAAATTTCATTTTCAATATTAGTATGCTTTCATAATAAATAAAAAAAATCACTAATATTATAGGTATGTAACTTTTGGCATTGAATGTAATAAAAAAAATAAAGTTCATTATTAAATCATTTCAAATTAGTAATGCTGTTCATACATAGGGCGTGACAATTGTGGGTAATTTGATTAATAAATATATAAATAAGTCTATAATTAATATATGTTGAACTATATCAAAAGTCCCAGATTCGAGTTGGAGTTTGACTCAGGTCACGGACCTGCCTTGAGGGCAGAGCACTCGTTATATATATCAAAAGTGTCTAAAACTCTGATCTCCAAATATAAACACCTAAGTCCACTTGCATTATGGGAATACACAGAATCAACTCAATGGTTAAAAGTTCTTCAAAATTTTGTAATGATTATTTTGTGACTATATAGTAAATGAAATAATATTGCATGTTTATCAACATTGTATGTACCATGTAATTTGATATGAGTTGTATAGGTACTTAATTGTAGTAATTAATTTTTTCTAATTCTTCTGATAAATCTGGATTAGTCCAATAGAAGTTAACTTTTTGTTAATAATGGGAAGTTAATCAAGTGGACCTCGATTAAAAAAGTTATTGTCATTGAGTTAATTGGATTCTCTGTTCATCCCAGGGTTGCAATGGACTGTGGTGGAGCATGCGTATCCGCGTTTTGCCTTATCGCAATGTCAGGCAAATATGGATGTGAGCAGTCCCAGCAACGGTATGCAGTATACCAACAATGCCAACTATCAACCTCCGCAAGTGATCAATGTGAATTCATGTTCGGTATCGGCCGATAACAATTATCAGATGTCGAATTCAACTTCTCCCAGCGTCAGTGGCGAGAGTATATCGGCTTATGATCAACAAACATCTACAATAGATGGAATAATGGGCAATAGCGGTAACCAAACTTCTCCAGTAAAGGCTAAGAGGACAAAGAATCCTCAAGCCGATGAGAATTTTGTGCGAGCCCTGGAGGCGGTCCGATTCGGTGGTATCGGATTCTGTAAGGCTGCTCGTATGTATGGGGTGAACAATAGAACTCTTTGGTTAGAATTCAAAAAAAGGGGATATTCTAATAACAGGCCTAGTATAAAAAGTCGAGTAAAACTAGAGACTCCTTCACCCCCGCCTCCTATGAACAATGCCACATCACAACCACTAGCACCTCCACAATCACTATCTGCACCTCCTGAAGACATTCACCAGACTGGCGGTAGTAATTCTGCTGATTCTTCACCTGGAGTACCCGTCATGTGTCCGCCTCCGTCCGGACATACAATGGGTGGTGTAATGGGATTTTTAGACACACGGCATGTGGAATTTTCTCCTGCTGTTGCTAGACCCAGGTTTCAAGAGCCCATTGCAATGAATCAGACTCCAATAAATTTGCATGGAGTGAGCTATAGTAATATCTGAGCTGGGCCACTTGTCTTAGCGGGATATATAGTGCAATGATCCGAGCTTTGAAACCTGCTTTGACAAGAAGAAAAGATAAAACAAAACAAAGTTTTAGTTGGATCTGAATTTATTTTGTGATAGTTTGTAAGAACTTCGAGGAGTACATTTTAAATTTTATTTTACTATTACATGATATTCATGTGGAAATTTTAATGTGATTTTATACTTAATGTACAAAGGTTTTAAATATCTGATTATTTATATATATTTTTGGGATTGTCTTTTTGGAATAATTTGTTGCCTTCATGAATATTTTTTTATTCAATGTTTTTTGCAGCCCCATGTATGAGAAAAAACAATTTCTTCCTTCATATTAGATTTTTTTTAATACAATTCTAAATGAACTGGAATGCATTGGTATTATTATGTGTACTAAGCATAAACCTATTATGTAGACTAATTTAATGAATGTTTCATAAAACGCTACTATGTTCGATGTCTATTTAATTAAAATAACTTATTGTAGTTGTATGAATGTTATAGCTAGTCAAATAAAACTGTCATTAGCTTTTAAAATATTTTCTTTTCATTTTCATTAGGAATGTTATTATTATTTCTAATAATCTTAATTTTAGATAGAAATCAACAAAGTAATAAGCGCGGACGTGTACTTATTCGCCAGCCACGTATCAAGAATAAAAGTGATTCAGCATCAACATCAGCAGCTCACGTAGAACATGGGGATCAAACATCACCTGCATTATTATCCGTATCTACACATCACAGTTCCATATCTGAAGCGCCTACGTCCTATGGTTCTCCTCATCATTTATCCTATTTAACAGTACCACATCCCGCACCTGGACAGTTGCTCAAACAACATTCACACCCATTGCTAAGGACTGTGAGTCCTCCTGCGGGTCTGATGCATCGGCAACTATCTCATCCTCCTTCTCTTATACAGGTAAAAATTTCAAATAATTAATATAGAACTCGTGAGATGATTAGTTAATTTAGTGAAATAGATATAGCAAGTTTATATTTGATTACTAGTCTGTGTCACAAATGCCTTTGGCGACATCTCTGCGCTCAGAAAATGATGCAAGGGACATAACACAACCGCCTATGGCACATCAGCAAAGGTCAATTAGCCCTTCTATTGTCATTGTAAACGATCCGCCCCCTTCACAGGAACTAAGGCGATCTGAATCTTCACCACAGGTATTAAAACAAAAAACAAACATCAGACATTATTATAGCTCACGCAATGCAAATTAATTGGAGTCTGATTTATTGCATTTTAATATGCTCGTATACTTTATAATTTTGTTTATAGAATTTTTCCCTCCGAGACATGGATACAACATCAAATACTCGTTCTAGTCACTGCCCGGCAGTTAGACCGGGACCAGCATTAGGTTGCAATTTTTGTTGGAATACGATCGATGCGCATGGGCGCATATTACGAAGAAAAACTAAATATCATTGTCCTGAATGTCAAACAAATCTTTGTATTGTACCTTGTTTTCAAGAATATCACGAACGACAGGAGCAAGATGTTAACAAGGATGATGGTAACAAAACTTCCTCAGACCATTCTAATAAACACAAATTGATTGGGGGATCATCATTTTAATATATACATAAACATTTTTACATTTGTTTTTTTTTTAAATTGAATTTATACATCTACATTTATTTTTTTAACTATTCTCCTGGCTCAAGTTTTTGCAGATTATGATATTGGTGTCGTCACCAGGAGCAAATCAGTAGCTATTTGCAAGATTATAGAGTTTGTTTTGTATAAATGGTGAAGTTTATGTATTTAATGTGCAGAAATGTTTCATGTAGCTAAAATGTACCTGTCACTAATTGTAGATATTAAAAATTGGGAGTATCTATAGATACATATAGAATTGATATTGTAAATATAATTATATAAATGTAAATTCAAAATAAAATAAGTGGAAAATAGCCTTAACATTTTTATTTTCATTTTCTACAATCATTCAAACTTATGTTACTTTTTTTCTGTTTTTGTTGGAATTTCTTCAGTTCCAGGTGCATCACGGAAATTTGGAAACTGTTCCCAAGGAGCAGATAATTCAAAACGGCGAAATTCTTGGGCCAACTCCAATGGTTCGCAAACAACTCTCTTTTTCTCATCATCATATCTCAGCTGAGCATACAAAAGGTCAAATTATTTGCAATCAATAAAATAGATTATATATTACAAATAATATATTATTTACCTCTACATATCCTGATAATGGAAAATCTCTACGGAACGGATGTCCTTCAAAACCATAATCAGTTAAAATGCGACGCAAATCAGGATGATTAGCAAAAAAGACTCCATACATGTCCCAAATTTCACGTTCATACCAATTAGCTGCTTTGAAGACATCATTACAAGAATCAACTGGTGTCAGTTCATCAGTGTACGTTTTGACTCTTATACGTGAGTTAAATCTCAGAGATAATAAATTGTATATTATCTAAAAATAAGTACAGTATAATAAATTGTAATAATAAGAAATGTATATTAAAATACCTCAAATCTGTATTCTCTTGTAGGTACATCCATACCAGCGATATCAACAAGATTAGCAAACTGGGCATTGTGGTGATCTTTTAAAAATTGCAATACTGGCACTATGCCTTCTGGTACAATTAGAATTTCAAGTTCATCTCCTGCCGTTAGCTGTACTTTCTGAACATATTTTGGAAGGCATTCAGCAACATATTGCCCGAAATCAGTTAGATTTGCCTTTTGAACAGGATCTGGTTTCCTGACAGTAGCTAAAGACAAACATATGAGGACATATGAATATTATGTAAGATAACCTAATGAGGTAAAAATAATTACGTCTAAGTTCTTGAGCTGCTTGAGTACTTGACAAACGGATAAGTTGCTTAGATTGTACGACTATATTTGTTCCTGGAAGATAATTAAAATTGGAAATAGTTTAAATATATTGCATAAACATAAAGTAATGACAGTTCATGATTATACCTCTATTTAACAATGCAGATTTCACAACTTGTCTTAAAAGAGATGCCATATTCTAATTTATTACGAAAAAGTTGCTATTTGAAATAAATTATTATTGACAAATTGAAATATTTTAAAATAACATTGAGAACATTTTCATCAACTGTGACAGATATAAATTCGTTCGTTGGTACCCCTGTATGATAACATAACTACGTTTAAAAACTTAAAAAAATGACAGAAATATATTCCATATAAGATTCAATTGAATATGTTATTATATTTTAACAATTTACGTAATACAAGTGGACATAAATATAAAAGTTTCCTATTCACAAGTCAGCAGATAATATTAAGATACATTTTTACCTCAATTCTGAAAAATGAAGATAGTAATAATATTCAAAAAGATCCGAGTACAAATTACGAAATAATATTGATATTGAGATTATTCTCAATAATAGTTAAGTGCAATTAAAAATGTTCGCAAATTGTTAAATGCAAGAGGTTCAGCTCCAACCCAGCAGATGCCACTGAGTCACCACGTGGTGTTACAGCGGGTTCGATTCTTTTCTCCGGTTCGTGTTCGTGCTAATTTGACAGACCTGATAATTGTGCAAGTGCTTGTGCGAACTGCCGTATCTCTGTAGTGTAGTGATATATTGTGATATTGTGATTAAGAATTGGCGTATAATCAAAACATGTTCTATTTTTAAAAATCGTGTCCAAATACTGTCTAACATGGTGCATATCCATGGCTCTTTGAGCGACGATTCGGCGTTGAGATATTCGTCACATTATATACACGAATTGCCGCAAGAAGACGAAGAAAGGTTGGGGAAATTGTTTAAAACCTTGGACAAAGATGGAAATGGGAAAATTGACATACACGATCTATCTGTAGCCTTGAAAGAGTTCGGCGTTCATCATCATTATGCAGAGGTTAAGATTGTTAAAACGTTGTTTTGTGAAAAACATGTATCGTTCCTAACCTATCTATACCATTGTAGAAATTTCTGCAACAGTCAGACAAAAGTAAAACTGGAGACGTGTGTCTTGCAGAGTTCATTCACTATGTACGCGAACACGAAAAAAACCTTAAACTGCAATTTTCGCACTTGGATAAAAATAAAGATGGTATTAATATATTGACTGTAACATATTTAATAACTAAGTTTTAAATTTGAATATGGTTTTAGGTATGGTGGATGTTGATGAGTTGATAAGCGCTTTCAAAGATCTTGGGATCGATATGGATACACACGAAGCCATGAATTTAGTGCAAAGGTAAAAACTTTTGATTTTCAGTTCAAAGCAATTTGTATAATTGAATAATAATATTGCAGAATGGATCAAGACGGAAGCTTAAATATTAGTTACGATGAATGGAGAGATTATTTACTTTTAGCTCCAGCTCATGATATTCATCAGCTTATTGACTTCTGGAGACACAGCACGGTAAGTAATTATGTACATAATATGATTAATAATATTGATTTAAATAAAATATTCATAGTAATTATTTCTAGAAACTTTCTATGAAAATACTATAATTATTTTCATTTGAATGCTTTTTGTAATCTCCGTATATGTATTTAAAATATTTTTTGAATAAACAAAAAGTATTTTTGTACGACTAACATAATACAAATATATATTAATTTACAAAATATGTATTAACATAAAATGCAATGTTAAGCTTAAAACATAATAATTCAGTAGTTTAACTAGAAAAATGAGCCCAATTTAATTTCGTATATCGCGCTGGAGGCTCGTCGAACGCGTAACTCTGATTGGTTGTCGACCTTTGCATTTATGAGAGGTTCTCAAATCACTTCATTCCAAACTTCCTTTTTCTAATTGTATAAAGCGTAAATAGAAAGATAAATATATTTTTTAATCTTGTTTTACTGGAACGTCTAATCGAATTATTTTCATTTTCTTAGATATTATTATAATTTTCATTGATAATAAAATTCTATCCAAAAATATCGTTCATTTAACTCATAGAAACCGCACGGTTTATTTGCTGAATCGATATAAACGACCATTGAATTTTATTTTACTAAAAATGTATTATTCTACATGACGTCATAATTCAGTTTACGGGTTTTTGAAATTTCAATACAATATTGCACTGTACAAATTACTACAAAGACGGAATGTATGAAACAATAATCAACTTGTTACTTATAAATATAACAACTGTAATTTTAATAAAATGGTTTTTGCCGCAATATATGAATAAAACATTTAGTAAAAGTACCTGATCTCCTACGGTCAGTCCGGGGTCACATTTCTCAAATTCAAATTCGCTTATAGTTTTAGAATCTTTGCGGTAGGCTGTAGAGTCTTTATTTTATTTATCGTCGTCCTCGTTCGAAAGCGGTTTTGCCTTTGGAGCGCCGATTGCTCGCAGAGTGCATCAGCTGACGCTCCGGCTATGGTCGATTCGATGACCTTCGCGAAATTCAATCTGTCTCTGAATTTGTCCTTCAAAGACCAAAGAACAGACATTAACTTTCATACACACAAATTTTGTACAGGTATTTGCTCTCGTATTACCTACTAGCAGCCAGAAAGATAAGAAATAAGATTGAAAATAAAGATAATAATGATTTTATTTTATGGGACTTATATACAAATGAGATAAATAGTATACTTCAAGCAATATATCCAATTGAATGCTAAAAAAGATACATAGGTACAAATACTGATATCAAGCACTAGGATATCCATTTTTACTTGAAAACATAGATCTGAAATTTGTTTCCAAGTCCTTGTTCGGTAATGCTGCAAAAATTATATCATCTGGAGGAGAGATATTATAATAATAAACCTTAATCGAATATGGATAAGCCAACCGTTGGATTAACTTCTAAAAATGCATTAATAAGGTCATAAAACTAAGTTCTGATTGCTGTTAAGTCCAGATTGCTGTTCTAAATGAAAAAAAATATTTGTTTTGAGATCTTGAGCTACTTAAATATTAGGTACTTTATGGTACCTAAATTACTTAAATATTAGGTACTTAAATATTAAGTACTTTTGAGAATTGAATTGGGAAACGAATTAATTGAGATTGTTTTTAATTAGCTATATAAAAATACTTAATTTGAAATTTATTATGCCGATTTCGGTATATATGTTAAAAGATTTGAAGTTCTGATCTAAAAGTTTTGCTCTTTCTAAAAGTTTTCGCATTTTAATTCGATTCGATTTTATAATATTTATGCTATATTGTAATTGCCACATAAATTGATATATTGGTGATTAGGATGAAGCATTCTATTTTTAATTGTGATAATTTTGACTTATCTGAAGTTATCGAAATACTTTATTTAGTCTGTAGCAATAGAGGCTCGTTCTTGTGGTCATATATATATATATATATATATATATATATATATATATTATGATGTGCTAATCTTTTTTCCCCACATTTTGTTTACCCGAACAAATCAGTTTGCTTTCTCGGCACAACAAAAAATACAGCAATTAAGATTCTCGGGCGCTTGGTAACTTGGTCTTACATCTAATTTTTGATGTCAATGCTGTTTCCTAATAGTTGTTATTGGGTGATAATTTATTTAACACATGTGAGCGTTTTAATGAGCTCCAACGACGATATCATAGGGTCCCCGGTGTCAGGCCGATTTATAGAGGAGCACACATTCCAAAAAAGAATTGATAGAAATAATATCAATAGCAACTTTGTTACAATATATTGATATATAAAATATTTGTTCTAAATTCATTTTATATGCAACTATGCATATGGATTTTTAGGAAAATCGTATGGTTCCTAAAAGCCAAACTTTATTGATATTACTCACAATTCACAAATGCATCTTGTAATTATTAATTTTGATTTTTGATTCAAGAAATAGCCAAATTCATAACGTTTACAATGATTAATGGGATTATGCTAATTAAAGTAAATTTTGAAATGTTGAGTTCTATTTTTTCAATATTTTACTGCCTGCAAGATTTTCATGCAGTCCAGAACATTTTCAAACAATTTATAATATTTTTTAGACCACCTATAATATTTTTCAGACCTGCTACGATATTTTCAGACTCTAACGGTTATTTCATGACTGTCTAGAACATTTTCAGACTGTAAAATATTTTCAGATAATATTTAGTACTGATTGGTCCAAGTGCCTAAACAATATTCAAGTAAAATCATTAAATAACAATATTTATAAAAACATTTTTGGATACAACGTTGGTTGAGATATTTTTATTAATAAAAGAAGGTTTATCACAAAATTTGTTTGACCTTTTGATTCGCAAATTTAAATTTTGAACCATGTGGTGAGCGTAATGCTTCATCATCTCAAATATTGCATCACTTTTTCGTTCAAAAAGCAAATTATTTATCTTATCATTGCTTATGACGATACAAAAACAAAAAAAAATGATTTGCTCAGAAACTGAAGCAGAATCAAAATTTTATAAGAGGAAAGAATATCATTGGATTTCCAAGATAATGGAATGTACGATTTGGAATAATTCTAACACCGACCTCATTAAGAAGACTTTGTGTTTTGTGTAAATATTTCTATCTGGGTCATTTACTCACCATTTTACATTTGTGGTCAACTTTTATCGAGGTTGTCCGTGGCATAGCAGTAAGAGCTTTGGTCTTGCGACCACACTATTTCAAGTTCTAGTCTCTTCTCGGCCAGCTTGATGTCAATCTAGCCTAATCAAGGACACTAAGAATTATTATTATTGCTGTTAGCTTTAAATCCCAATTTTGCAACCAATGAATTAAGCAATACAAAAATATTTTGTTCTCAATCTACCAATATTTGTGATATTTTTAAATTGTTTTTGCGTCGTCAAAGGATTTTTCTTATACTGGAATATTTCTTCAAATGACGTTATTAGATTTCTGGACTGAACATCCAGATGGTCCGTATCTTCGTGCGTCATGTTATGAAATTGTTTGCCAATTAATAATATTACGACAGTAATTAATTTTGTCATTATAAAATCGTTTTGTTTACAAATAATATTTTAGAATCCTATAGATTGATATATTATATTGCTCCTTTTGGAAAGTAGAGGTCAATTAATGATATTGACAAGGCAATTGGTAGAAATAGATTTATACCCAAAAAGAAGCAACTAAATAATACACCATCCTAGACAGTCAAAAATTCTAAGAAACTAAAGTTGCTTAAAAAATTAGGAACTTCTAAATCTTTGTGAATATGAATACTGTTTTTTATTTCTTAATTTAGATTTTATTTTGTTTGTTTTTCCCAACAGTTGTTAAATATTGAACAGGCATCAGTAAAATAGAAATTTTTAGTAATATCCTCATTTTAAAATTTTTTGTACGAATCTCTGTATGCAATATAAAATTTCCATTTATGAATTTATTGAAACAACTGATTTTTTTTAAATCAGTCCTGCCGGAATATTGAACTTTGTATTATAAACTTAGGTATTTTCTTTAAAAAAATCTGATAAACATCGTTATCATTCTCTAATTTTGTTTGCACGCCGTAAAATAAAAATAATCCAGCAATTTAGTATGTACATTGTAATATTATCTCGGCAAGGTATTTTGAAAGTATATCAGCTCGTTTTGTTTTATCTTTCAATTATTGTTTTGTTATTTTGTTTCTTTTTAATAAATGATAATGATGGAAGTTTTTGGCATTGTAATGCTCGTGTTTTCGTAAGCAAAAATATGAAAATTATCGGTAATAAATGACCATAAATCATTTTATTATTTATGAAGTGTTAATAAATATTTCTTTATTGAAGATGTATCAATATATCATTTCTTGGCTGTTTCTACAAATTACAATTCATCTCAACGTTTTATTTTTACCACGGGCAAAGAAATCGCCGATATAGTTATTTCTCTTCTCCAAGTTGATAGATTTTGTAAAGATGCCAATAAATAGCGATTCGGTTGGAATGTTTACAAACATTGAATTACGCTAAATTTATTAATAGATTTTTGCAGTAATTATAAAACTCTACATTTTTATCGATTCCCAGTCGATGTGTCTAAATTTAGTCGTAAAAATTACTTAGGTAAATATTTTAATTATAAAAAATTAGCAGTGTGCATGTGCGGGATTATGTAAACTTTCAATTATTTTCTTTAGCGGCGTGCTCGGTGCCAAAAGTCGCAACTTTGTTGATTTTAAATAGAAAGAAACACAGATGGTATTCTGTGGGAAAGTTGTCTTTGGGATATATAGAATCATGACAATTTATTATTTATTTGAATTATTAAAGATGAAAGAAGAAAGAAGGCAGTGGTGGTGCCTTCTTTAGCGGGTGGAATGCATTTTACAAACTTTCATAAGGACTGAGGTTGGTTCAAGTTTTGTACGATGAGCTGTTGCTTTATAATTCAGAGATAAAATACCACTTACACCTAGTTCGATCAGTAATTGATTTACTATCATATTCTGTGGATCATT